GGATGTGGGGAGAAAGGCACCCTCCTTTACTGCTGGTGGGAATATAGGCTAGTACAATCACTATGGAAATCAGTATGGAGAGTGCTTGGAGAATTGCAACTAAACCTGCCATATGACCCAGCTATCCTGCTGCTAGGAATATACCCAATAGAAGTGAAATCTGCATATGAGAGGGGGATCTGTAATCCTATATTTGCAGCAGCACAATCCACAATAGCAAAGACATGAAAACAATCTAGATGTGCGTCCAAATAAGAGTGGTTAAAGAAACTGTGGTGCATCTACTCCATGGAATATTATTCAGCTATTAAGAAAAATGAAATTATAACATTTACAACCAGATGGTCCCAACTAGAGAGCATTATGCTCAGTGAAATGAGTCAAACATAAAAGAACAAATACCATATGTTCTCTCTTATATAAGGAAACCAGCATGGGAAGTGTAATGTCAATAATCCAGTTCATACTGTTTTTGTTTTGTTTTGTTTTATTTGGGCTGCATTCCATGTGTTTTGATGCTTTTTATTTCAGTTTTATTTATTCTAAATATTCTCTTTTCTCTAGTCTAATTCATTGCTTACTCATGGATTGTACGATGGCATCATTTTTCCCAAGAGACTTTTGTATGTATTTGATAAAACAACTGAACAATTGATATTTCGGAACACTAATAATCCGTAGGAAAGGTTATGCTCTTGTCCCTGGAATTTCCTAATGGAGCCTCAAAATTGTGGTTTCCCTATGGCTCATCTGACATCAGAAGTGCAGCAACTCCCTTGAATACAACACTGCCCCTGGAGAAGATGGAACCCCCAGTGGAACTGCCTCTAAGAACTGAAAAACTAAATTTGTTTAATATTCCTCTTGTTCCACTACAGGTCAGGAGTGCAGAGAAATCCTCCACCTTGAGGAAGACAACAAGTGTAACTTATTATTTATAGATAACAAATTCTTACCGGCCTTAGACATTAGAAAAGCCATAGAAATGTGTGGTGGGATCCAAGAACAACCCTGACACCCTCTTAAAAGGAGGTTGTGTGTACAGAGCAGGAGGGAATCTCAGGGTGGAACAGGAGGATGAGAGGAGATCTGTATCCTAGTCCCAGAGACTCCCAGAGCCTCCCAAGTGCTTTTGCCACAGAAGCAATGGATGCTTCGTTGAGGATTGTCAGTATGGACACCGAGAACCGTATCCTGACTGCCTAGGAGATCACAGGGAATCTCGGAGTCACCTCGGAGGTGATCACAGGGAATCTCAGTGCCACCTCGGAGGGCACTGAGAACTCTGAGGTCACTCATTTCCTATAACCAGGAGCGCCCGGTGGCACTCAGAGATAAAAGGATTGTAAATTTCCTTCTGGACTCAGGAGAGGCGCTTTCTCTGGTCCTTATCTAGATCCAGCCTTGGCTCCCAGCCCTCTCTTACACCATCAGGGTTGCTTGTGAGCCTCAAAATTAGTTCAGATAGACAGAGACTAATAAAGGTTAGCTAGTTGATAATTACGCAGCTCATACCTCACTGATCAGGCTTCCCATTTGACTTTTCAGACAGACAGAGAGAGACATAGATACAGCCAGGGAAAAGGCCAAATAGCCTATAATCGCTCAGCCTGTACTTTCTGGTCAGGCTCCCTATTAGCTTCCCCTGGACTTTACTAGGTAGGATGTTGAGTTAAATTCTTCCTCAGTCACTAGGTTGTTAGGGATTTCCCTGCTCATTTTCCTAAAACTTTTCTATCACTCAATTGTTAAAATGCAAAGTTCTATAAAACCATGTTTAATCACTATATACTGCAAAGTTTACATGTGGCTTACTTTTCTCCCCAAAATACTTTATCAATTTATGACTGTTAATGCTAAACAAGATGTAACTGCATAGAAACTTTGATGTTAAATTTGTACTCAGTTGTTATATATATGATGGATGTTAATGTTGATGTTTCCACTGTTCCTGTGCCACTCTGATTCAGGTTAAACTCAAAAACATGCTAACTTGGGAGAAAAAAAAAAGGTTCATAGCTTCTGGTTGTATGTATACTAAAATTGAGATGCCAAGGAAGTAGTTACAGGGTATGGTTAAGAACTTGCATTTTCTAACATATTGGTCACTCAATACCATGTTAATTAACTTCATGATGTTGTTAATTTCGATGTTTCTTCCTGTTTTTGAAGTTGTGTAGTGACATCTCATTGGAGGGGATGATATTCTGCCAGCTCTACTTTCAGACCAACGATGGTCTCCCAATGAAACTGTTGAATTTATCTGGACAATAAGATGCTGCTGGACTCTCTGCATGGTCCATGCCCACAATGAAGGAATCATGATTAGATGGATATGAACTGTATTACTGTAACAATGTGGAGGAATCCTACATGGAGGGAGGTTTTAGGGTGGGGTTGGGGAATCCCAGAGCCTATGAAACTGTGTCATAAAATGATATAAAATTTTTTTTAAAAAAGAATATTTTTAGACCATACTTGGAGTTGGGGGCCTCCGGCATGGTAGCCTAGCAGTTGAAGTCCTCACCCTACACATGCCAGGATCCCAGATGGGCACCGGTTCTAATCCTGGCAGCCCTGCTTCCCATCCAGCTCCCTGCTTGTGGCCTGGGAAACCAGTGGAAGATGGCCCAAAGGCTTGGGACCCTGCACCCATGTAGGAGACCTGAAAGAAGCTCCTGGCTTCAGATCGGCTCAGCTCCAGCTGTTGCAGCCCATTGGGGAGTGAAACATCTGACGGAAGATCTTCCTCTGTCTCTTCTCCTCTCTGTATATTTGACTTTTCAATAAAAATTAATAAACCTTTAAAAAAAACGTACTTGGGGGATAAACAGACATATTCTAGGCTCTGAAGTTAAAAAAAACTTTTTTGGGAGGTCCTTATTAGAATGCATTCATGGAATGCGAGGTCTCCCTCGCAGATTCCTCTAGTACCCATTGCGGAACAGAGTCTGCTACCTGTGACCCAGCCTCCCGGACGGTGAGAAACAGAAGTTCTGTCTAAGCAGTTCTGATGTATTGGGGAAATTCAGTTCCTTATATAGGGTAAGGAATAGCCTCAGGCCAGGATTTCACCTGCCATGACTGTGGAAGCCACCTCCCATGGGTCAGGGGTAGATGAGCGAAATGGCCCTGGCCAATCAGTCTTTCTTTGAACCAATTTGATCCCTGTCATGGTTCACGCCCAGGGCTCTGTCCTTGGCTGCCATCTTGCCACTTGTAACTAACAGTTTGACTGTTAGTAGCCATCTTGTTACTTAATGATCTCTTTGCCCCTGAGCCCCACAATGGAAGAAATGATAACTTCTAAGAAAGATATTCAGCCAAATGGGTAAGACATTGGTTGCGATGACTGCATCTAGTGTCTGCCTCTGATTCTGCCTTCCAGCTAATACAGACTTGTGAAGTCGTATGATACCCCAAGTTACTGGGCTCCTGCCTCCCATGGGGACCCTCACATTGGGTTCTAGCTCTCACATTGTCCTCGCCCACCCCTGGCCACAGCTGGCACTTGGGGAGTGAACCAACGAATGAGAACTGTCTCTCTGGCTCTCAGATAAACAATTCTTTCTTAAATTTTGGAATTACAAAATGCAAAAGTGATGTAAAAAGACACTTAAACTGTGTGTAGACCAGTAAGTGTCAAAAGTAAGACTCGAGGGCTCAGTATGCTGACCTATTCAGGTAAAGCTGCCACACCACACACACCAGCATTGCACTTGGCATCGGTTCAGCTGCTGCACCATGCATGCATTTCCCTGCTAATGTATTTGGGAAAGCAGCAGAAGGGCGCCCCGCACCCAAATGGGAGACCCGGAAAAAATCTGGCTTCAGGCTGTTGTGCCCATCGGATGAGTAACCAAGAATAGGAGATCTCTCTCTCCATCTCTTCCGCTGTAATTCTTTCAAATAAAAACACACCTCTTTGGGGGAAAAAAAAAATGCCGCTAGAAAGTACTAGAACTTTCCCTCTGATTCTATCCTTCAATCTCTACCTTCCTTCCCTCCTGAAAAGTCACTGAGTTTCAGTGAATTTGAAGACTCCTTCTAGACACTTAACATCCTGAAACTCAGAAACAACTTCCAAATTGTTGAAACAAACATTTACGTAAGGAAGCCTCTTCGGGCACCTTTTAAAAAAACACACGCTACGAATAACTTTTAAAAATATTATCTACCTTATCCATTAAAGCTCTCTTCCTTTGTGGGCTTGCTTCACGGTTTCTGGCTGATAAGGGGGATTGATCAAAAGTTAGACGACCACCACTTTGGAGACAGGGCACCATCTAAAGTTTTGAAGTTCCATTAAGAATGCAAAGTCCTCAAAGGGGAGAGAATGAACAGAGCTGGATAGAGAGGCTACCATGAGGAGGTCAGAGGGGCTAGAGAACCGTGCCTGTTGGGTACTTGCTCAGCAAGGTGGTGGCCGGTAGGCCCTGGGCGGGCAGGGTATACCAGGATTCCCTAGAAAGCCTTGGTGGTCATCGGATTGCAAAGGACAAGGATTAAAAGGTGGGGAAGAGGGGATGCCAGGGTTCGGGAACCGGCAGCACCGAACAGGACGGGCAGTGCGATGCAAGAAACCCATTCCGACTTTGTGACGCCAAGGGGCGCGGGACATCAGGGAAGGCGGGAATGACCGGAATGGAGGGGCGGGCAGGGCCTCGGGGCAGGACCTCGGCACTGCCGGGTGTCAGGAAGTCGGCTGCACGTCTGGGAGCGAGGGCCGCAGCAGGGAAGACCCGGGCCCTCTGAATGCAAGACCGTCCCACTGGGTTCCCAAACCTGCTGGTCCAGCTTCCCCTCTAAGGGACCGACCGAGCGGGCGCAGGGGCTGGAGGGTAAGCCTCGCTTTAGTGGTACTTTAAGAAAGGCGTTGGACGGGGGAATGCCAGGGAAGAAGCGCGGGCCCCACGAGCCGGGCTCCTCAGGCGCAGCGGGAGAAGCGGGCGGCCGCTGGGTGCGAGCCAACGCGCGTCCCTCCCTCAAGGGTCACTCACCGTTCCGACTGCGAATAGTGGCACCGACCCAGCAGGTTGAGCTTGCAGAGGTGCAGGTTGTTGCAGGGCCTCTGGCAAAACTTGCGCCGGCAGATTCGGACTTTTGTGGTGGCCACCACCGACCGCGAGACCCCGTCCTTGCTGCCCGTCTCCAGGATCACGAAGCGGTCGGGGCCGGCGGCCTCCAGCTCCTGGCGGAGCTGCGCCTCGGAGAGTCCTGCCTTTTCCAGCAGCTTCTCCAGGGTCAGACGGCCTCCGTGAGCGCACAGGATTTTGGTGATGTAGCAGCACACCCCGGGGTCCGCCATGGTGCTGGCTCTCCGCTCGCTCGTCCGCTCGTTCGCTCGCTCGTTCGCTCGCTCGCTCGCTCGCTGTTTTAGCTAGCTCGTTCGAGGGCGGCGCGGAGCTTAGCTTCGCGGAGAATCGAAACTGATACGTTTCTGGAAAGGGGGGCGGGCTCGGGCGCAGCAGTTTCGGTTTCCTTCTCGGTTTTAGGGTCGATCTTCACCGACGGAACCCTGGGGTCGAACTTCTGAGAGAGCCGCTCAAGCGAACGAGTCGGAGGGAGCGTGCTCGCGCGCTTGCTGTGAGGGGGGAAGAGCGGCCCGTGTTCCACCGGCACAGTCACCTCTGCCGCTACCCTGTAAGCTAGGCTGAGGCTCACCCGCCGGGAAACCGCGCACTACTCCCTGACAGCCCAGAGGAAACGAAACTGACGTCGGGGCTAGGCTGCAGGTTTTAAGAGGCGGCGAAGGGGCGCGTAACGCGCATGCGGGCTCTTGGGAGGAGTCCTGGAGTCCTCCGTCCCAGGTAGCCCGGGAAGAGTATCCCCACCCACCCTGGTGCAAGTGAGCTACCCTTATCGTCCTCACCCAGCTTTTAAGGAAGCAACTAGAACTCTCGGGCTGCTCCTTCCAAGGAGCCCCTAGGGCACGGAGAGGCGCCCCGACCGGCCCACAGATGTGCGCTCCCCGTCTGCACTGAATCCTCTTAAGGAGCAGCGCTGGCTACTTCCCCTGGTTGGTTGGTTGATTGGTTTGTTTGTTTTACCCATCCCATCATCTTTTTGATGGCAGAGGGTCGGCCACGGAGGGGCGTGCTGAGACATGGCTTGGGATTGCAAGTCAGTAGGTGGACAAGAGATTTGCCAACCATGGAAGCCGGCTTGGAACCCTGGCGCTGGCATAGAGATTGTTCCTAAGCGAAAACGTTTTCACTACATTAAGGTACCAAGAAACTTGATCTTAATTCCCATTACCTGACTCAAGGGCTGTGAACCCGTCCCCAAGCTCCTCTTACCCCCACCCTCCCCAGTTGGCCGCAAGGCCCAGGTGGTTTCCTGTGTATTTGACTGCCAACAGAGACCCAGGGGTTTTTGCATTAGCACCAAAAGGCCAGGTGGAACCTCCCTTACTCTCCGACCCTAGACCTCAAAAACCCCCGTCTGTGAAAATGAAAGCTATAAATCTTTCCTTGTACTGTTCTATGATGGGATTGGCTTTTTGGCAGGGCTGGACCTACACCGGAAAAAGGAAGTTTTTTCTTACAACACACTACATTAAATAAATGGTCGTTGTTCCGGTTGGAAATACACTTGGGGGGGCGGGGGTAGAACTCAGTTGCCAAACTAGAAATTCTTCAAAGCAGTCAGAGGAGTTTTCTTCTGTGTGATAATTCATGGTGGATGAAAAGATCACCCCTTTTCCTTGAGGTATTCACTACCTACTGGATGCTAGCACCAGGACCTCCAGACACCCTGAACCATGGTAGACAATCCTGGGCAGTGCCAACATAACGCCTCTACCCAGAAGAAATCCCAAATGTCAAAGATGTATGCTTCTCCATCGGTCTGGGGGAAATATGGGCACTGGGGAAATCCCAAAGCTAAGGAAAACTGACCCAGCAGCCCAGCGAGGAAGGAACTGCAGTTACTGGTGCACTTCTCTCAGCGTGTGCAGCAGGCAGCTGCTTCTGTCTGGCAGCAGATGCCAGCGGTGGTTAGCATCTAGCCAGCCTGTCTGCAAGCTGCGCTCTTGCAGTGTATTCAATTCATCCAACTCCGCGCACAGCTCTGGTAATGGAGTACGTGGCATGAAAACCAGCCGGGCAGGGGACCCACATGGAACCATCTAACGTCCTGTTTCTTCTGGTGCTCTCTCCTTGTCTCGTTATCTCCTTGTCCTTTGTTGTGGCCTGACAGGTTCCCAGGCAACTTTTATTATAAGATCAGTTCAGTTCAGATTGCCTTCCATGTAAGCCTTACACTGTCACTCTGAATATGCCAAAGTTAAAGGATCCATCCATCTTTGCATACCAGGAGTGTGTGCTAGGGAAGAAATGAGGGGATATCAGAATGTAAGGAATCCATGGCGATTGAGGAGATTAAGGAATGAAGACTCCGGTTTGGCCGTGGTGCTTAAGAATATACTTGTAGAATTCCCCTCAACTTTCAGCCCAGCAGACATAAAAGGCAACCTCATACCCTATCCACAAAGAGTATCTATTCTTGTGAGAGCAAGCCTATAGCCAGACAAAAAGGCTCAATATAGTCTGTTAGTCAGCTGCTGTTGTCCATAAGGAACAGAGCTTAGCATTGATCTTTATGGCCAACAAATGACATGGTCAGATATGGACATCTCTGACACCCACACAACAGTGGGAGGGTGGCACTCCTGGCTGACATCAAGTGACCATACCATTTTGTCTTGTTGGCACGGCTTTGTTGGATACTTATTAGTCTTAGCATGTTATAGAAACGATTTCCCACTTCTATATGTCCAATCGACATGCTTCCATCCTAAGCCTTCCTGTGTCTGATTTCCCAATTTCTTTCCTCCAGGTTCCCTACTGAAGGAAATGACCTTGAGCCATTCCATACTAAGAGGATGACCAGGTATACATCTCCAAGCCCCTCTCGTTGGGAAAGCGTCTTCTCACTTTATTGCTTTGTTATATATACACACATATGTGTGTATGTGTGTATATATATATATGTATATATACAGTACTCATATATTTCAAAGATTTGTTTATTTGAAAATCAGAGTTACACAGGGGGTAGAAAGGGAGAGAGAAAGAGAGGGCAAAAGAGAGAAGGAGATTGAGGTCTGTCTCCCATCTACTGAGTCACTCCTCAAATGGCCAGGCCAAAACCAGGGTCTTCATCCGCGCTTCCCACATTGGTGGCAGAGGCCCAAGTCCTTGGGCCATCTTCTGCTGTCTTCCCAGGTACGTTGCATTAGTACGAAGCTGCATTGGAAGCAAAGCAGCCAGGACTCCAACTAGTGCTTACAGCTTGCAAGTATGGCAAGTGACAGCTTAACCAGCTGTGCACAGCAGCAGCCTGAACCTCGAGCTTCTTAATGATGCTGGTGTCCCTCTCACCAGAAATTCCTGCTGATCTTAATGAAGGTGGTTTCTTCAGGCCATCCTATAAGATAAGATCCTCGGCTAGGCATTCAGTCCTCAATAACTATTTCAACATGTCTACTTCTCTGGGACTTCAAATTCATTTTCCTGTGGTCAAACATAATGATTGAGACATTTCAACCTCATTCTCTATGAGCCTTCACTTTCCTAGATTTCAGGGCATCACCTTGGCTTCCATTCTGTATTTGTCGTGTCTGTCCTTGCCACAACACTAAAGCTTGTGTACATCGTGTATGCCCTAAGTCAGTACATTCTCCTGTTTATATTCTTATATACCACTCACTTCACAGAGCAGTTTTCTCACAAAGGGAACATTTAAACTCAACGTGCTTACAGTAAAGAAGTAGAACAATTGAGAACTGACAAGGGAGGAGAAGGGAAAAGGAAACCGGAGAGGTTTTATTTGATCATTCTTGCTTTGTTTGTTGGCTGGTTGGTGTTTTGCTCAAAGACCTAGCCGTAGGAGAAACATTCCTGGAAATCTATCTGGAGAGTGTCCATGGGCCCATTAGTATAATGTCCAGCCCTATGAGTCATTGGAGCCACTGTTTGGAAAGGAAAACAAAACACACAGGTTACCATGAGTCAGCTATGCCAGGTCATAGAAACGAAAGTACACAAACACAAGAAGGTTGAGTCAGGTGGAATGTCCAAAGTCCATGCCAAGCAGGTGTTGCATGGAGTGGAGGGAGGCATTAGGGAAATGGTCAAGTAAACAAGGAAAGACAGAAGTGAGGAGCAGGCACAGGGGATTTCTCTAGCTTGAACCCATGTAACAGCAATATTCCCTTGGAAGCACTGAACTGGGAAGGAATGGGATTGGAGGTAGAGCAAAGGGATTAGCTATAGAGTAGAGAAAAGCCATATCCCTCTTGGAGGGCAAAGAGAGAACCAGAAGCATCCAGCTAAGCCACTCAGCAGAAACCAGGAGATAAGAATGTGGATAATCACTTTGAGCCAGTAAGTAGTTGAAATGTTGAGGATGTTGAGTAAGTAGTCAGGAAGAGAGGAAGGAGTGAGAGAACTGATTAAATGATGAGAGGGGGTGGGCAATTGCAACCTGTCACCAAATGCTACGTGGTTGGACTGTGGTAGGTAATCTCAGACTCCAGTGCATGTCAAGTCAGACTGGGCCTGGCTGGCAAAGACAGAGCCAGCAGCAGGTGCACCTAGGTGGCCTTCCTTGAAGTCTTTTTTTTTTTTCAAGATTTATTCATTTTTATTGGAAAGGCAAAGTTACAGGGAAGGAAAAACAGAAAGTACTCTGTTTTCTAGTTCATTCCCCAAATGGCTACAATGGCCAGAGCCAAGCCAATTTGAAGCTGGGAGCCAGGAGCTTCTTCAGGGTCTCCCATCTGGATGCAGGGTCCCAAAGCTATGGGTCATCCTCCTCTGTTGCTTTCCTAGGTCTTAAGCAGAGAGCTGGATGGGAAGTAGAGCAGTCAGAATACAAATCATTGCCCATGTGGGATTCTGGCACCACCAGGGTGGAGGATTAGCTTGCTGTGCCACAGTGCCAGCCCCATTTCTTGAATTGTATTTCACACAGGATGGACTGCGAAGGAGGCTATTCCCTAAATGCACATACAGAGTGGGTGAGATATGACAGGACCACCAAGCCCCAAGCTCTTAGCATACATTCAGTGCATAAACAGTAGGATAACCAAATATGACACATCCATGCAAATGACTTTATCCATAAAAAGGAACAGCATACTGATATATGTGGCAATATGAATAAGACTTTGAAATCATTTTGGCAAGTGAAGGAAGCCATGAGGGCCTGGCGCAATAGCCTAGTGGCTAAAGGTCTCACCTTGCATGCTCCAGGATCCCTTATGAACACTGGTTCTAATCCCAGTGGCCCCGCTTCCCATCCAGCTCTCTGCTGGTCACCTGGGAAAGCAATCGAGGACAGGCTAAAGCCTTGGGACCATGCACCCACATGGGAGACCCGGAAGAACTCCTGGATCCTGGCTTCAGATAAGCTCAGCTCTGGCTTTTGTAGCCACTTGGGGAATTGAATTAGTGGATGAAATATCTTCCTCTCTGTCTCTTCTCTGTATATTTGACTTTGCAATAAAAATAAATAAATCTTTTTTTTTTTTAATGTCACATGTTGGGGCCTGGGATGGTTCGATTAGCTAATCCTACCCTTGAAAGTGCCAGGATCCCATATGGGCACCAGTTTGTGTCTTGGCTGCTCCACTTCCATCCAAAAACCTGTTTATGGCCTGAGCAGTAGAGGATGACCCAAAGCCTTGGGACCTTACACCCACATGGGAGATCCAGAAGAAGTTCCTGGCTTCAGATCAGCTCAGTTCCTGCAATTGCAGCCATTAAGGGAGTAAATCAGGAGATGGAAGATATTTCTCTTTTTCTTTCTCTTCATAAATCTGATCTGCCTTTCCAATAAAAATAAATAAATCTTTTTTTAGTTGCATGTTGTATGATTCTATTTCTACAAAATTCTCAAACTAGCTGGATCTATTGAGATTAAAAAATAGATTAATGGGATGGGAGGGGCCTGGGACAGTGGTACAATAAGCTAATCTTCCACCTCGTGGTGCCAGCATTCCTCATGGGTGCTAGTTTGTGTTCCAGCTGCTCTGCTTTCCCTCTGACTCTCTGCTTGTAACTTGGAAAAGCAGGTGAAGACGGCCCAAGTCCTTTGGGTCCTGCACTCATGTGGGAGACCTGGAAGCAGCTCCTGACTCCCAGCTTCAAATTGACTCAGTCTATGAACTTAGCGGCCATTTGGGAAGTAAACCAGTAAATAGAAGATCTCTCTCCATCTCTATAAAATCTGCCTTTCAAATGAAAATAAATAAATATTTGTCCAAAACAGAAAACCAATTAAAGACTGATTGCTAATAGGTGTGTATTTTTCAGGAGGGGTGATGAAAATATTTCACATTTGAATAGTGGTAATGTCAGCGAAAATGACTACTCAGAGGTTCTTGTCTTTATTCAAGAAAGAACTCTGACCTGAGACAGAAAGCAGTGGGAAGTGAGGCAGCAAAGCTTAATGAGAGCTTATCTGATAGAACAGGTGGGTGTCTGTGGAAAGAGCTGAGTATCCAACCTGTGCTGAGAACAGTAATAGAAAGGGCATCTGGCAGAGCAGGTGGGCAGCTCAGTACAGGACTGAGAGCGCAGCTTGCCGGCAGCCTGGAGTTTTTGAGGACCTGAGTACAGGTCCCCTGGTTGTCCTTCCCTTTTCCTTCCACTGGGAAACTGTGTGTGTGTGTGTGTGTGTGTGTGTGTGTGTGTGTGTGTGTGTGTGTGTGTGTGTGTTTAAATGTGCAGTTCCTGAAAATCCTCCTGGGACACAATGCTATCTAAGAACCCCACTGATGTGGAGTGGGAGTAAAGGGGTGGGCTTGGACCTACCTAACAGGGTTACTGAGCAGTTACTTAAGATGTAATTGTTAGTCTGCTTCCAGGGTTTGCTTCTTTATTCCACTGTACACACACACACATATATATAAATTCTCATTTTTCTATGGTTGCCAAATTTAATTTTTTTTCCTTAAGGAAAATCAACTCAAGAAAGGAATATCAAGACTTTAACAAGGTTTGTCAGGAACTCGTGATCCTGGGGAAAGACAGGATTGTGATCTTAGCAATTTCTGTGAAGCTGGAGTCAGTGTCACTGGGCCTCAGGACTAAAGTGGAGCTGCGAGACCCCAGCCCGTCAAACTGAGCTCGTAACTGGATTCTCCTTAAGGCAAAGAAAACCTGCTTTGGGAGGATGCAATTTACAAGTCAGAATTCACCTGTGCCAATGTACATGCAATTCCATCATTTTTTAGTAAATTTTCACAGTTGTGCTACCATCATCACAATCTGATTACTTTTTATCATTTCTCAGACATGAGTATGTTTTGGAACTGCCTTTCCAGCTTTTCCTCTTCAGCATGCAACCAGGTTTCATGCACTTATATAATTACATGTTACATACATCATGGATGATTCTTGGAATTGTAGCTAGGAACAACGATTGCTGTAGTACAACCAATGTCCTACTGTTCCCTTCTTAAATCAATTACCATCTGAACAACTTTTGCTTAGATGTAGAGATTTAAAGCAACACCCCCCAACTGCTAGACCATTTCAACTGATTAGACAATTCAACAGGGTTACCATGTTATCAGCATGATCTCCACACAGGGCTCTTCACCATGACTGGAGCCTAAGCCAACTGTGAAGACTTTGTAGTGTTTGTGGGTCTTGCCAACCTGCTGAATTCCCTACCTATACAACTCTGAGTCTGTGTCCACATCCAAAAAGGACTCTTCCCTGGGTCTGGCTTCCTACCAGGTCTGTCAGCAGGTGATAGGTGGGTCATGCAGATGAGCTGGTGTCCATGCAGAGCCCCTCAAGGAGCATGCAAAAAAGCCTGGGTGAGAAGAAAAGGATCCAGGGCTAAAGGTAGGGGCTGCATTTCTGCATGGCCCACCAAGTGCCAAAGATGAGAACTCTGAATTCAAGCCTGATTTCCTTCATGAAGTCAAATTTCATGGTAGGAGGAGAAGATGTTGTATACGATAGTTACCGAGGCTTAGAATTTTCCAATATTGAGACTCGTGATATGTAGATCTCTGCATGATTTCCTGTATAAAGTATCCAGAATACGTAAATCCAAAGAGATAGAGATTGTTGGTTACCAGAGGCTGGGGAAAGAAGGGACCAATGAATGACTTCTAGTGGGTATGGGTTCTCTCGGAGATGATGAGAATTTTCTGGACTTCCACAATAGTAGTGGGTGCACAACACTGTGGCCAGACCAAGCGCTACTGAACTGTACACTTCAAAAGGCCGAGGTTGATGGTTATTGAGTTAACTAGGCTATCACACACACAAAATCTGTTGGGGAAAAAAAAAGGAGCTAAGATTGGTTTGCTTTAAATTCAAGCAAGAGTAGGATTATTTTTAACATTTGGAATCAAAAGAATGGCAAGTACATTGCTGAATTTGTGCATCTGTGTATGTGTGCCTATGTCTCTGTTATCAACATTTATGTAGACAGAAATCCAAAATCATGTATCAGTGAATTAGGCTAGGTAGTAATTCATTTCCTCTGCAGTAAACCAATATTTACTGAATGTGGGCTGGGGGGTGAGTAGGGTGGGGACTCCCAGGTGATGAATAAGCAAGAGAATGGAAAGGAATCACGCAATCATGTGAACCTCCCTTGCATCAGCTGTGTCCTTAAGACTCCAAACTCAACTAGTTACTCAGGGCGGTTTATCTTATGCTCCAGCTACGTCATCATGACTTCACACACAATTGAAGGAACTATTTCACTTCCCTCCCGAGCTGCTAGTTAACTAAAAGAATGTTACTTTGTGATTGTTGATTCTGAGGGGCTGACAGCATGTTCAGCGTAACATTCCAGGATTGCACGGTTTTAAAGGTTTTGCGATTGTGTTAAGTGGGAGTAGGAGTGAGGTGAATAAATTAGGTCATCCAAGCCACATTTACCATAGCTCCTGTGTGCAGGAGTACCTGTAAAACCTGCATTTTAGTACACTCCAATATTCAATACCGACTCCCTCGGAACAGCAGAAAGTTTCTTTTAAATTTCCCACATGAGCGGGAGGCTGCAACGCACTGTTAGTAGAAGACGCCAGCAGGTTGCTATGGAACCCACCACAGTCCAAAACGGAAGTCACCTTTGAAAATCACTTCCCCCTAAAACCTGCGTCTGAAAAACAACACCACTTTAAATTGTTTATTCCTAAAATACATTCATACGAAAATCAGTTTTGCTTTTAGCACGGAAAAAGCAGCTCTACTTCGGGAAGAGTAACATCCAGTCTTACTGCAGCGGCAAGAGCAACGGAACCATAAATAGAGCGCATTGGTATTCCAGCGGTCTCTTCTCCCGGACGGACCAGCCTCGCGGGGTTGCCGTGGAGACCGAGCGAGCTGTGTGGATGCGGCGGCGCGCTAACGCGCGGCCTTTGCCTGCTGTCTGCAAAGGGGGCTCGCAGGACCAACACCAAGATGGTTAGTGGCTTCGAAACGTGTGAGAGAACGTTGAGTAGGTCCTGAGACTGCAGATGACCGGTCCCAGCTCCCAGCTGGGTAACCTGGCCGTGTCAGCACTGAATGATCCTCCTGCCTTCCCCGGGCTCCCATGGGGAGCAGGGATGCTGCTGTTTTTGCTTGGATGCTTTCTTCCGTCTTTGATCTCCCTTTCCACACACTGGAGCTGTGTGGTTTCCAAGGCAGGGAGTGGGGAGGCTGAGATGGCTGCAGGAAAGCATCCGCGAAGTTGAGAATAGCTGTTTGGTACAGGAGGATGCTCCTTTTACCAAAAGAGTTTGCAAAGGGTTTTCTGGTGTTCCTTGTTCAGGCTTTGATTTCTAAATCCTGGAGTTGGCTGGCCCTCTGCCTTATTTAAAGCTGACCATCGGAGCTGGGTCATAGGGCTGTCTCTTTTCTTCCACAGATGCTTTCCAGAGCCAAGCCTGCGGTAGGCGGGGACCTACCGCACACCGACAAAAGGAGAAAGAAAGGCCGGAAGATCCCCAAACTGGAGGAGCTGCTTTCACAGAGAGATTTCACTGGCGCTATTACCCTGTTGGAGGTAATATCCAGAAACGCTTGCGAATACCTGATTGGGGGTGGGTGGATGCTGGGGTGGATGCTGGTGAGTTCACTCTGGGGCTTCTTCAGGGGATCGCCCGGAAGTTTCATCAGCTGGGGTCTGAATGACCTACCTACCTGATTAAAGATGAATTGGAACTGGAGCGTTGTGGTGCTAAGCCGCAGGTTGAAACACCTGCATCCCACAAGAGCAACTCGAGTTCTCTGCCTCTGCTTCCTACCCTATTAATGCCTGTGAGGCAGTTTATCAGGACCCAGTACTTGTATTCCAGCCATTCAAATGAGAAGCCCAGATGGAGTTCCAGGCCCCTGACAACAGCTCCTGGCTATTGCTGACATTTGGGGGAGTGAACCAACGAGTGGAGAATACCTTTCTCTTTCTATGGTTTTCCCTCTCTGTCACTCTGCATTTCAGATGGATAGATGGATACAACTTATTTAAAAAGTGTTTGTTTATTTTACTTGAAAGGCACATACACAGAGAGAAGGAGAAACACAGAGAATCAGTCGTCAAATGACTGTAACGGTCTGAGCACAGCTGATGCAAAGCCAGGAGCCAAGAGCAGGGACTTCCTCAGGTCTCCTTATTGTGCAGGTACTGGGGAGCAAGGACTTGAGCCATCCTTCTGCTGCTCTTCCTGGCCACAAGCAGAAGTGGCATGGTAAGTGGAGGAGCTGGGATAGGAACCAGTGCAGTATTGGATGCTGGTGCCAGCAGGTAGAGAATTAACTTGAGAACCAACATCTGGCCCCCTAATAAAGCTTTTTAAAGAGGGAGCTAGAAAATAAATTTTAGGGCCAGCACAGTGGCCTAGTGGCTAAAGTCCTCTCCTCGAATGTGCCGGGATCCCATATGGGCACTGGTTCTATTCCCAACAGCCCTGCTTCCCATCCAGTTCTCTTCTTGTGGCCTGGGAAAGCGGTTGAGGACAGCCCAAAGCCTTGGGATCCTGCACCCGCATGGGAGACCCAGAAGAAACTCCTGGCTCCTGGCTTCAGATTGGTGCAGCTCCGGCCATTGCAGTCAATTGGGAGTCTCAGTCTTTTCCTCCAAAGTAGGAATTTTTTCTTTCATTGGCTTATGAATTCATAAACATTTATTTACAGTGAATATAGGTGAGGCTAATCTTCTCCACATTCTTAAATGTTATTCCTAAGAATGACATTCTTAACATTCTTAAGAATGTTCTAACATTCTTAAATGTTAAAGGCAGACTTTAGGAATACAAGGATGATTTAATGGCTTGTCCTCAGTGCAAGGCTATAGCCTACTAATAAATGTATGTATGCTAATAGGACAGGATAGAAATGCGAGGTTGAATGCAGTGGAGCGTGGAATGTGAGAAGGTGGGCTTGGAGTCAGGCATTGCTTCAAGTCCCTGCTACCAACTGCTGTGGTTGTTTGGCTTTGAGTTCACTGCGCCTCTTCTCAAACTTTCAGCCATTTGGCTTTAAGTTGTACACATAATTCTTTTGTTCCTTATATTTCACCCAGAAGTGTTAAACAACCCAAATACTTTATGGAGAATGGTATCAGAAAATACAGAAAATCAGTGTGAAATATTTGAAAATATAAGTTTCTATAACTAGGGACACTTCTATCCCTTATCAGAGTTATCAGAATACTTGGTTCTAGCTACTACTTTGTTTTTAAGATTTATTTATTTATGTGAAAGAGTTACACAGAGAGAGGAAGAGGTAGGGAAAGGGAGGGCTCTTCCATCTGCCAGTTATGCCAGGGTTTCCCACACGGGTACAGGAACCCACCTGGGCTATCTTCTGCTGCTTTCCCAGGCCGTTAACAGAGAGCTATAGCAGAGCATCTGGGCCACAAATTGGTGCCAATGTGGGATGCCAGATATTTTGCTTATTATCCAACTGCCTACTAATGTGCCTGGGAAAACGACAGAGGATGATTCAAGTACTTGGGCCACTGCCCAACCCCTGGCTGTTGCAGCTATTAAGAAAGTAATCCCTTCAGAACAATAGCATCACTAACAAAGAGTCAGTCCTAATAATAAAAGCAGAGTACACAGTCAGCTCAAAAAAAAAAAAAAAAAAGGTAATCCAATTGATGGATGCTCTCTATCTGCTTTCTCTGTAAGTCTGCCTTTCAAATAAGTAAGAAACTCCTTAAATAATGCATGTATATAAAGGTAATTGATGCCAGAAGCCAGATGCCTTCTGTAGATCTCCCACCGTCCTCTGCTGCTTTCCCAGGCTATCGGCAGGGATTTGGATGGGAAGTGGAGGAGCTGGAACATGAACTAGCACCTATACGGGATGCCATTGCTTGAAGGTGGAGGATCAGCTAGTTGAGCCATTGCACTGGCCCCTTCCTGAGTTCTATAGGAATAGATTTACTCAGGATGGACACTCTGTGCCCACACTGTATGCCATCTTGCTTTTAGATTGCCAGTCAGGCATCATAACAACATAATCTTTAACTGAGAGCTTTCTATTGACATTTTTAATTGTTTTTTTTTTTTTTTTGCATGAACTTTCCACCTGAAGTTTAAACGTCACGTTGGAGAACAAGAAGAGGATACTAACTTGTGGATTGGATACTGTGCTTTTCACCTTGGTGACTACAAGCGCGCTTTAGAGGTTGGTGTGGGGGTACATTTCTAATGGAGTGTGTTTGAAATGTTGTTAAACTCTGTGTTAAAATAGCACATATTCACGGTAAAATTCAAGCAGTGCAGGAGGAAACAAATGATAAAAAAAACCACCCTGTCTTCCTTAATCCTATTTCTGTGTTATAGAGGCAATTTTTTTTTTATGTATTTCTTTGGCAGTTTTCTATGTATGTATGTTCCAGCAAATGTACATTTATCTTAATTTTTACTTTTGTGTATATTCTGAGATTTTACAGTATAATATTTAATATTATGTTAATATTAATATATAAGCAAGTCTTCAGAAAATAAATAAGACCTTTTAGTTAAAACTTCTATGACTCTTTTCTTAACATAATTTTACTTGTATTCTTCTTGATAAATTTTTTACACATAAGAAAGATATATTGTCATTATATCGTTGCAAATATAGTTACTTTAGAAATTGTTTTTCTTGGTCATTATAAACCTTTCATATCTACAGGATTATAGGATTATATATATATTTTTTTTCAGACATTATATCAAATAAATTTTAATTCAAAAATAAAATTACTGAAACATTTTCCACATATTCTTAATCCCAAAATAAAATCTAAGGGAATCTGAAGAATCTACAGTACCAATTCAAGGGCAGGGAATGAAGTGATAAAGTGAAGAACAGAATTGATAAAGGAAAAGGAAAGATATGAAAACGACAGAACAGTAGCTGGTTGTGTTTGTGAAGGCTATAGTAGGAAAGAAAGAATAATCCAAATGTAATAAGAGGACCAAGGCATCCGGGACGGAGTAATTAAAAAGTAAGAGTGGATGGGAGATGTCACTGACAGAGTGTAACCTCAGAAGTGTCCTCGGTGAACAAAAAAAAAGCCAATTCCAAATGAACAAAGACAGAGTATTAGGATGAAGTGAAATGAGTAGGGTATTAAAGTTATCAGATTTTAAGTAACTGATGCAATGTGTTTCTTACAGGGTATTTTTATTTTTAGTTAGCAAAAGTAAAATAGCTCAGTTGCTTTTTCTGTTTTTAGGTCAAAGGCAGAGTAGAGGTGGAGGTACAAATATAGGACTTAATGGACAATGGCCCTGCATGGGTCGAATTGAAGTTCAGCCTCTGTATTTAATCCTTGCAGGAGCATGAGGATTCCCTAAATATAAAGTTCCCCAGTCTCAACCAGAATCCTGTCATTGTTGAAGAAAACCCCTTGATCTTTTTCTTTTGAAATAAGATTGCTGCTTAATATGTATTTCAGGAATATGAAAATGCAACAAAAGAAGAAAATTGCAATGCTGACGTCTGGGTGAACTTAGCCTGCACCTACTTCTTTCTTGGAATGTACAAGCAAGCTGAAGAAGCTGGATTTAAAGGTAGAGTGAACTCTTCGTAAAGCTGATATTCTTCTGGCAGTAAAAGTCACTTTGGCGATTTTAAAATTTATTTCATTTCTTTTCTTTTTTCCTTCAAGATTTATTTATGAAGCAGATTTTCAGGGCCTGGCACAATGGCTCAATTGGCTAATCCTCCCCTTTCAAGCACCAGGATCCCATATGGGTGCTGGTTCATGTCCCTGCTGTTCTTTTTCCCATTCAGCTCCCTGCTTTTGGCCTGGGAAAGCAGCAGAAGAAGATGGTCCAAAGCCTTGGGATGCTCCACCTTCGCAGGAGAAGCAGAAGAAACTCCAGTCTGCTGGCTTCCGGTCAGCTCAGCCTTTGGGGCCTTGTGGGGAATGAACCAGAGATGGAAGATCTTTCTCTGTGTGTCCTTCTCTCTGTAAATCTGCCTTTCCAAGAAAAATAAGTAAATATTTAAAAGGAGAAGAAGAAAAGCAGATTTTCAGAGAGAGTAGGAGAGACAGAGATATCTTCCATTTGCTGGTTCACTCTTCCAGAGCCCATCTGAAGCCAGAAGCGTGGAGCTTTTTCCCACGTCAGAGAAGTGACCCAAGGACTTGAGCCATCTTTCACTTATTTCTGAGGTGCATTAGCAGGGAGCTGGAGTGGAAGTTGAACAGCTGGTACCTACAGGGGATGCCAGTGCTGCAGATAGAGACTTAGCCTACTTAGCTATGGTGCTGCCTCCTCCTTTTTTTTTATTGGGGAAAAAAACAACTGGCATTACAAAGCTAAAACAAAACCTTTACTCGGGGCCAGCATTGTGATGTGGCTGATTAAGCTGCTGCCTGCAACACCAGTGTCCCATTGGTGCATCAATTCAGGTCCTGGCTCCTCCTATTTCTATCCAGCTCCTGGCTGTGCTTGAAAAAGCAGCAAAAGGTGGTCCAGGTACTTGGACCCCTGCCACCTGTGTAGGAGACCAGATGAAGTTCCAGGCCCCTGGCTTTAGCTCTGGCTCAGTTGCAGCCATTTGGAAAGTGAATCGGTGGATGGAAGATGTTTCTCTCTCTGTTTCTGTAACTCTGCCTTTTTTCAAACAAATAAATGAACTCTTAAAAAAAAATGTTAACCTTTTTTGCTTCGATACCTGTTTCCATGTGACACATTATTATGTTGGAAGACCTGTGGAACAGACTCGAATTAGTCATCTCTCACTATGCTTAGATGAATGACTCTAGTACGCACACTGATAGCAAAATCCACAAATGCTGAAGTCGTATGTCATCTCTGGAATACTTGAAATACCTGATACGGTATACATGCTGTGCCATTGGGTGTTAGCGTGGTGTTTGCAGAGTGATCGCAAGAGCAATGCCCAGTTGGATTCTCTGACGCGGTGCCCACACTTACAGAGGCTCACTGAGTGCCGGTGTAATTGGGGCAGAGGAAACTTCAGAAGGGATTAACAAAGAATACAGGGATGGCGAGCTGAATGAGAATAGATTCGCACACACTGATAAAACCTTAACTGCCTACCAGGAGCGTTTGGTTTAGTTTTTGGACAACACAGAATTGGACCGTACGCGTGGAGTGCTGTGCTAAGGGTTGTAAAGTAGAATCGGGTAGAGCAAGTGGTAGGGAAAAACAGATTTTCGGAACATTTATTTCTCTCTGGTTCTTGATGTTGCTGTTGCTGCTACCGGGAGGTTAGACTCAACATAGCAGAACCATTTCAGGGTCACGTAGGCAAAGATTGTGTCTTAGTCACCTAAGTCTCATTTTATTCATTCAAGGGAAAAATGCCATAGACTGCTTTTAATAAGCATATTGGGTTTGGTTTTCAGCTCCAAAAAGCCGACTCCAAAATCGTCTGCTCTTCCATTTGGCTCACAAGGTATTTATATCCTCATTTTACAGTTATGGGTTTTTTTTTTTTTTCAAAAATGTGGTGTTTCTTCATTCTTGTTACAAACAAAAAGTGAGACAATTAACTAGGAAGGGTTAACAGTGCTTCTGTGACAGGTGGAATACGGGTGTTAGTGTTGTAAGATTCTCTTATCAATGTTCTTTACCCTCTTAATTTCTTCAGAAATGTTAAGTTTTACTTCTACTCTAGAAGCAATGTAAGGTTGGTTTGAGTGGCAGTGTTGTGGTGCTGCTAGTTAAGGCGCTGCCTGCTGTGCTGTCAATATCCCATAGGAGTGCTGACTCGTGTCCGGGCTGCTGCTCTTTCAGACCACCTCCCTCTCATATGCGTAAGACAGGTCCTCTGGCCCATAATCCATGCAGGAGATCCAGACTGATTTTGTATATATGAATAGCTAGTCCCAAGCATCTACCTGTGTTTCCTTTAAGGATCATTTTTAATATATACACATTTATATGTTTCTTTGTTTGGCAAAATAAAACCCTTGCTAAATATACAATTTTATATTATGCCACCCCCTTTTTTTCACTTACCCTTATACTGTGAACATATTTCTGAGGTACTAGATAGGCTTCAAAATTACGATTTTTTAAAAAAAAATGGTCTCACTACATTTGTATGTGCCATAATTTATTTCACATTTTCTGGTTATTTAACTTTTGGGTTGTTTCTAATTTTTATTTGTGAAAGTGTCATTCTGAATGTCTCCGGAATAGGCTTAATGAGTTGGTGTTACAAACTGTGAACACGAAGAGCTTTATTTTTGAGAAAGGATTGATTTATTTATTTGAAATAGTTTTATTTCTAAAACTGTTTCTTTGGTTGAGAGGGATGCGCACCCCTGTGGTCCCTGATTAGGGCGGGGGAGTCAAGGCACAGAGGAAGGAGGGTGGGACAGATGTCTCAGTTCTCTTTTTTCTCCTGTGCCCCATGTGGGGGAAAGGTAAGAGGCTGCTCCTTGCTGTCAAACTACATCAGCATCCAGGGATGAGGGATGCTCACTCGATGACGCCTTAGAGACCCCATGTGGGGAAGAATGTTCCGAGGGTGTTACTTGAGCGGATTTGATAGTGCTGAGGTGTTGGTTTCATTGCTCCAGGGTTGAGGAAAACCTTGCAAGGTCTGTTAGTTGACCAAGTCCACCTGAGTACCTCCACAGACCCAGGAATGTGCTGCAAAGCTTGGTCACAGAATTGTCCAGCCTGCTGTGCTTTTCATCCTCTGACAAGGCACTTGATGTCCTCTGCTGGCTTAGACGAGCTGGCTGTCATGTCCTTCGTGTGCATCTGTGTATGCTTTTCCGCTACATGGGCATCAGCAACTGAGGAGGCCCAGACTCAACACGTGTATTCCAAGATCGAACCACATGTCTTGTGATTTTCCCTGTGGCCAGGATTTGAGTTCAGTGGTCTAGATCGAGCGTCCCACAAGAAACCTTGCCTGGGATAACCTCTTGTTTATACCAGCTAGTGCCAGGTCAGGTTTTTTCAGTCATCTGCACCAGCCAGTGCACATACTGATAAATGCAGCTGCCTAGTCAGTTCCTCCTCCAGCCCCATCTCATGCAAACTGATGGATTTGTGGGTTAACCCAGCCTAGCCCACCACAGGCCTGGTCTTCACACACATCAGAGGTGTCTAAGCTTAGTTGGGGCGATTCCGCATAATGCCCACCAGACCAGCCCTAGCTGGTTTTTGCATGTGTCTGCATGTGCTGCAGTTTAGCCTGGTCCATCCTGCATCCTACCCAGCTGTTGTGCATAACCGTGTGTATTGTGGCTTAGCTCATTCCATCCTACCTCTAACCTGGCCCAGATGTATCCCAGTGGGCACTGCTGTCTTGTCCAGCCTGGTATGTCACCAACCCTAGCTCTCATGCTCCCCAGCTAGGCCTACAGCCTAACATGGGAGTTCCCACAGTTCCTCTACCAGGCTTGCTCCAAGCCCCAGATTCTGTGCTTGCCCCCAGCTCCCACGAGAGTTGGCGAGTGGGCCTGGCATAGTAGCCTACCAGCTAAAGTCCTCATCTTGCATACACCAGAATCCCACATGGTGCCAGTTCTAATCCCAGTGGCCCGATTTCTCATCCAGCTTCCTGATTGTGGTCTGGGAAAGCTGTCCAGGATGGCCCAAGGCCTTGGGACCCTGCACCTGCATGGGAGACCTGGAGGAAGTTCCTGGTTTCTGGCTTTGGATAGACTCACCTCTGGCTGTTGTGGCCACTTGGGGAGAGAATCAGCAGGTGGAAGATCTTCTTCTCTGCCTCTCCTCTTCTCTGTATATCTGGCTTTCCAATAAAAAAAAAAATAATAAATAAGCAAATCTTCAAACAAACAAACAAAATAGAGTTGGTAAGTTCTATTGTCCAGCCTGGCTTGGTTAGCCACCACCTCTAATTCTCATGCAAACCAGTGGGTGCTACACTCCCACAGAAGCTATTCCCCTATAGAATTTGCCCCCAGCTAATCAAAATGTAAACAGATAAGAAAGTTAGAGCTGGGCCAGTGCTGTGTGTAGTGAGTTACACTGCCACCTGTAATGCTGGCGTCTTATTTGGGTGCTACTTCAAGTCGCAGCTACTCCACTTCCAATCCAGATCCTTGCTAATGTGCCTGGGAAAGCAATGAAGAATGACCCAAGTGCTTGGGGCCCTGTACCTGTGTGGCAGACCAGGAAGAGGCTCTAGGCTTCTGGCTACGACCCGGTGCAGCCCTAGTCATTGTGGTCATCTGTGGAGAGATCCAGCAGATGGAAGACCTCACTCTGTTTCTCCAACTCTCTCTGTAACTCTTTTTTTTTTAATATATAAATAAAGGACATCTTTTTTAAAAAGAAAATAGAATCAATAGAAACCTTTCCAAGGTTGACTTGGAGGCTTGTCATTGAGAAAAAAAAATTCAAGTAGATCATAAAAATTGTCTGAAGTATCAGAGAGCAGATTGGAAGTTAGCTTCTGAATGTACTGCTTTCTGTAAATAGTCTCTAAGAAATATTTTAAGTTGATAAACTGCTCTCTTACCAGGCAGAAGTGAGCATTTCACAAATCAAAGATTACTGTTAAAAATACACCTGCCCTGCCTCACATATAAACCGCACGCAGCTGTTATTTATGGTTAAAATTTAAGAAAATAAGCATAGAAGGTAGAAAATTTCAAAAGGTAAGAGGAAAGAGACATAGAAAATAAAGAGAGAGGAAAGTAAATTAAAAAAAAACCAAAAAACAGAAGCAAGAAAGCCAGGGAAGGATCAAGTAGTTAGCGTGAGCCCAACTTCAAAGCTTTCCATGGTCAAGGCTGTCCCCGCAGAGGCTATTTGCAGCCTGTGCCTGAAGGAGAGACCAAAGAGAACGGAACCTGAGGAAGATGGGGCGAGGTTAGGGCACGCTAGCTGAAGGAGAAACGAGGGTTGAAATCCCATCACCTGTGGGTGACTTATCTCATTGCACACTGAGATGAATCTTTCCATGACTTTTCCTCTGTCACAATTTTAGTTTAATGATGAGAAAAAATTGATGAACTTTCATCAGAATCTTCAAGACATCACCGAAGATCAACTCAGTTTGGCCTCCATCCACTATATGCGCTCTCATTACCAGGAAGCTATTGATATATATAAGCGGATACTACTAGACAACAGGTCTGTCTCCTTTGATGCCGATTTGAGTGTCTTTCATTTTGTTAGTTTCTTCTGTAACTTGTTTGACAATGTAGTATCCTTTGAATCTAATACCACAGTGTATTCAAATCTGTTTAGATGATAATATGTTTTTTCTTTCTTTTTGTTGTTATCATTCTTCCAAGGGGCATTCTTAGACAATTTCCTCCCTAACTTTTTTCTTCCCGTAGAATTTTTGTAAATACATATATATGTATGTACGTATATATAAAATATATCTATATATCTGTTTATGTCCTATATCTGTGCTTTATATGTATGTAAAAAGATTGATTTTTCTCACTTCTGCATAAGAATCAATTTTCTCCCCTGTTGAAAAGATATGATCTACGGGCCCGATGCAATGGCCTAGCAGCGCAAGTCCTCGCCTTGCACGCGCTGGGATCCCATATAGGTGACAGTTCTAATCACGGTGGTTCCACTTCCCATCCAGCTCCCTACTTGTGGCCTGGGAAAGCAGTCCAGGATAGCCCAAATCCTTGGGACCTTGCATCCACGTGGGAGACCTGGAGGAGGTTCCTGGCTCCTGGCTTCAGATTGGCACAGCACTGGTTGTTGCGGCCACTTGGGGAGTAAATCATCGGATGGAGAATCTTCCTCTCTGTCTCTCCTCCCCTCTGTATATCTGACTTTGTAATAAAAATAAATCTTTAAAAACAAGAAAAAAAGCTATGATATAAATATAGCAAAATGCGGATCACAGTTATATTGTAGGTGCTGACCAAATTAGGAACAAAGCATTCCAAAGAAGTATCGCCCAGCACATCACTGGGTAGCCGTCTCTCCTCCCTCATCCCCAAAAGCCTTCCTTCTTCAGTTCTCTTCCTTATCTTCCTGTTCATTCCCAGTCGCGAAGGCAGCCTGCCCGTCTCCATCCTCTGGGTGTTGTGTGCTTATCTGCATTTAGGTTCAATTGTAGCATGTGATTTTCAAGCAGGAAATCTTATCCTTCCTTTTCCAATTATCATCCATAACTCAAACCAAAATGCCCAAATATCGTAGCACAGAAAGAATAACACCTGTGCTTGCTTTCTTCGCGAAGCAAATACAGGAACGTTGGCCTTGTTGTACAGATGTCACTTGCGGTAGACCAAGTGTTCACCCTCAGTCCTTTCATCTGCAGGGAATACCTCGCCCTCAATGTTTACGTGGCCCTCTGCTACTACAAGTTGGATTACTACGATGTATCCCAAGAGGTGCTGGCTGTTTACCTGCAGCAGATTCCCGACAGTACCATCGCGCTCAACCTGAAGGCCTGTAATCATTTCCGCCTGTACAACGGCAAAGCCGCTGAGGTAGGGCGGGGAGTGTGCTTTATAGTTTACTCGATTCCAATCTGAACTGCTTTATACTGGCTGGGTTACTCATGAAACTCTACATTACCTGTGCATCTCAACTGATATCCCTTTGTCATTGCCAGTGTGATGCTCCAAGAATCTAATTGTGTGAATATTTATATTTAGCAGATATTCTATGAAAAAACACATTAGCTTCCAGATTCCCTGTATTATGGCTAGTATAGCATACATGGTTTACCTAAATGTCATACATCAATTTTAGTACATTGAAAATGAAATGCTTCAATTTGGGCCCGGTGGCATGGCCTAGCAGCTAACGTCCTCGTCTTGAACGTGCCAGAATCCCATATGGGTGCTGGTTCTAATCCTGGCAGCTCCACTTCCCTCCTACCTCCCTGCTTGTGACCTGGGAAAGCAGTCGAGGACAGCCCAAAACCTTAGGACTCTGCACCCATGTGAGAGACCTGGAAGAAGTTCCTGGCTCCTGGCTTTGGAACAGTGCAGCACCAGCTGTAGCGCTCACTTGGGGAGTGAATCATCAGGCGGAATATCTTTCTCTCTGTCTCTCCTCCTCTCTGTATGTCTGACTTTCCAATAAAAATAAAAATAAATCTTACAAGAAATGCTTCAACTCCTTTCTCTAAATTCTGTTTGTGACTCTGGTTGGATATCACCGAGATTCACCCAGCAAGCTGCATCAGGGACCTGCCTGTTCTCCCTCGTTCCATGGCATCCCCCACCAGTTCCTGTCAGTCACACTTCCTTCATAGCTCTTTGATCTCTTCCCTCTTCTCCTTTGCCACTGCTTTGTGCCAGGAGCGCCTCACTTCTTCATGTGGCCCTCTAAGTTGTTTTCCTACCTCAGTCGGGTTTGTCCTGTCCAGTTCAGCTCTTCCGTTTGTCCCCTTCGTGTGTGAGCGTCACAGCTCTGCAGCACATCATTCAGACCTCCCGAAGGACTTCCTTCTTCCTCTGCTTTGCACAATTCAACTTCTCTAAGAGGTAAAAATGATTGACGTGTTACAGATGGTCGTGGATTGGCTAGCCGGGAGGCACTGACTGTACCGAACACTTTGCTATTTCATCTCCCTGATGAGCTATGGATCCATGCTGCTCTGCTCTCACTTTGTAGAAAACACAAAGTGCTCAGGCCGTACATTATCATCTCTTTTTTTTTTTCTTACCTGACATGTTTTAAATAGCAGGTTATTTAACATTTTACACATAAGTTTGCATGTACACAAAGAAACACATATTGTGGTCTCCAAAAAGTTTGCAAAATGTACTTTTTTTTTTTGAAGATTTGTTTTACTTGAAAGTCAGAATTACTCCCCCAGCTGTAGACAACTGCCCAGGTTACATTGTATCTAGGTAGGTGTTACACTGCTGGGAGAAAAGCAGCTAATAGTTGGCGGGCATCCTGGGCCTGGTTAATGCCAAATTTGTGTTAACTATAGCCGTGTGCCAGCATAGTTGTCTATTCTGTTTTTGTTTTTGTTTTTTAAAGACATGTGTGTGGTTGCGGGGTGGGGTCAACAGCATGATAACCTAGTGGCTGAATCCTCGCCTTTCATGCCCGGAATCCCATATGAGCGCCAGTTCATTTCCAGCTGCTTCACTTCCCTTCCTTCCAGCTCCCTGCTTGTGGCTTGGGAAAGCAGCAGGAGATGGCCCAGGGCCTTGGAATCTCGCACCTGTGTGGGAGACCCAAAAGAAGCTCCTGACTCTTGACTCTGGATTGGCTCAGCCCCAGCCATTGCAGCTACTTGGGGAGTGAACCAGTGGGCGATCTTTGTCTCTGTATCTCCTTATCTCTGTATATTTGCCTTTCCAATATTTTTTAAGTCAGAATTACTGAGAGGGAGAGCTAGAAAGAGATATTTCATCCACTAGGTGGAGCAGCTGAGACACAAACAGCTGCCCGAATGGGATGCCTGCACTAGCAGGCAGAGAATTGCCTTGTTGAGCCATTGCCCTGGCCTACAGCCAATGTCCATGTTCTGTTCAATTTATTTAATAGCTACCTTTTTCTTTTGCACATGCTTTCCATACTCAGATATAGGTAGCATGATTCACCAATATTTTGGAAACCTAACCAAGTCAGGACATCAGACTACACTTACCACCTTAGCGGTTCTGCTTTTTCCCTTGAAGTTCTGTCAGTACAGTTTACATACTGATTTTACAATGTATTCCAGAAGCTGTGTCAAAGGTATCTGTAAAACTTTTTTTGGTAACCATAGGATATGACTAACATTAAATTATGATGGTTTTATTACCCTATTTCAAAATCAGGAATTCTTCTAGAATTTGTGCAATGGGGTCCTTATTATATATTTCAATATCTCACAGACATCAGTGCTATGCTGCTCTTCTACAGCAAGGATGAAAAAAATTGGTAGTGATTGACTTAATTCTTAAAGTACGTTGACTAACTTACCCAATGCTATATAACGAAATACGTAGCAAATTCTGTTTTTAAGCCCTTATCAAAGACTCACAGAAATAACCACTCCACCTTACTGCAAATGTAGGCGTACTTTCCTTTTTGCCGTTATGCACATTTACAGATCCATGTGTATACACAGATACATGTATGCACTCTGGCGTTCAGGTTATCTCTGGCCAGCAGATACTGGGTGTAATTTTATTGGATATGCAAATCAGATGCTTATAATCTAAAAGCTGCTATAGACACACTTAGTAATTGGATATGTGGAAGCTTGAGTTTGGTCCAGAAGGCTTCGCGTTAATAGTTCCCAGTCGGCTGTGGGGAAAAGAAAAACCTGAAGGCGTTGTCGGCTCGTTTGCAGAACACTTGGCCCCGGTTATTGATTACGCGGATCGTATTTTACATTTACAGAAGTCCTTGCCCTTTAAGAGCTTCACTTTGTATAGCTTCCTGTTTTCTCCTTCTGTGACTGCCATTTCTTAAAACTGTAAAAGCTTTGTTCTGTGATCTGAGTTTGAGAAATTGACTTTGTGTAGTCATTGTGGGTCGGATTTTGTTTTCTTTTGCTCCTCCTGGTTTTTCTTTATGGACTGTTATTTCTTTGCATATGACATTATTGTTGACTGGGTGTTAGACACATTTTTGAAAAATTATTTTAGGAATCATTTAGGGCCCACAGTGAACACACATTTCTCCCCTAAGTGACGTACGATTGGTCTTTCAGACAGCTAGAAACCGCCTTTAGCCACATCAAGGCTTGACATTTCCCTGAGCTGCTCATAGGGTTCAAACTGGGCTGTAATGCTGCACAAGGTTCCGATTCTTGCCAGTGTCTCCCGTGCAGTTCCGGTTGATGCAAGCAGGGTCTCCTGTGAGGTTTCCACTGTGAGCTTGTCCTGGGCCTTGTATTTTTGCCTTTGCTCTCTGGCAAGACTGTCCGCTAAACATTTTACTTTTACAGAATCAGTAAGGCCTCTAAGGGCAACACTGGCCTTGATGGGTTTTTACTTCTTTGGGTTCCACTTTTCTCCTTCGCTTTTTGAACAAGTGTTTTGGGGCTGGGTTGCAAGTGGAGCAGCTAAGATAGAAACAAGTGCCACGTGACATAACGGGTCACAGGCAGCAGCCCTACCTGCCTATGCTACAGTGTGTGCCCCAATAACATTTAAGAGTATATAAGCGGCCTGGCGTGGTAGCCTAGTGACTAAATACTCACTTTGCAACTGCTGGAATTCCATATGGGTTCCAAGGACTTGGGTCATCCCCTGCTGCTTTTCCAGGGCATCAATAGAGAACTGGATTGGAAGGAGAGTAGCCAGGACTAGAAGCAGTGCTTCTATGGGATGCTGGCACTACAAGGCCAGGAACGTTAGTCTGTACACCACTGTGGTAGCTCCAAATGTAATAATTTTACACAGAAAAACTTAACTACTAAGATTATGAAAAACAACAAGTGAGAACTTGACGTGGTGCCACCATTTCCTTTGCCTTCATTCGTTGTGCCTTTTGCAGAACTTCCCACAGTGCCATGTTGGGACAGAGCATGTGCAGGTTCACAGCCTCCATGGTCCATAGAAGCCTCTGTGAGGTAGGCGCAAGGAATAACTGCCGGTCAATGGAAAACAAGTGGCAGTTAGTAATTATGGTGACCTTTTTGTTTTTTAAAAAGGTGGATTTTTATTTAGGGAGTAAAATTAGAGAGAGCGGGAGAGACACATCTTCCATCCTCTGTTTCACTCCACAAATAACCTCCACGGCCAAAGTTGGGCCAGTCCGTAGTCAGATACCTAGAACTTCCTCTGGGCTTGCCACGTGGATGCAGGGACCCAGGGACTCCCCTCACCCCCTCCCACACACACCTACTGCCTTCCCAGACTAGTAGGAAGTACTCCCAGACTGGAAGGAAATCCTCACTGGGATGCGATGGAGCCACTGGGGCTCTAACCAGTGCCAGTGGGGGATGCTGGCACTGTATTTAAAGGTTTAGCTAGCTACAATATGGCACTGGCCCTGATGACTTGGTATTTTCAGTCTGAATTTGCTACATATTTCTTTACTGTAAGCAATAAGAATAATCTATTTAACAGATAGGAAAAGTGTTCTTAGTAGCGCAGTCTCTTGAGCTCAATATGGCATGTTACATATTTTGTAGATACCTTACAAAATGGGGGGAAACTCAGCTACTCATTGATGAAAGGAGATAAAGGGTAAGAAGACAGTTGCTGCAAAGTGTGAACTGCCAGGTTGGTACTGAAAAAAAGCTGAGGAAGAGGGAAACGGATGTAGGATGCTAGCAAACAAGATCATAGAAATGGCTGACCATTTGTTCTAAAGTCACACGAGAGAGCCAGAGAATACAGAAGACATGCAATAGATGTGATAGATGGAGAAAGAAGGAAGGTGGCATTTGAATTGTGTTATGTAATTAAGGGGCGGGTTGATAGGGAGAAGGAACTAGGAGATGTCAGGATCGCATGGAACAGTCAGGCTGAAGGATACTTCTATTAAGAACTTGGCTCCTTCAGCAGTTTTAGCACTGGAAGCAAACTCACACTAGGAGTCTTCAGACTGGGGTGCTACAGTTTTTAAACATGCTGCTTCATCTAAGGTTTAAATTACTTACTTTTCATAAGCCTTTTTGTTCTCACTTATAAATTGTGCATAATTATGTTGCCTTAGAGTCGTGAAGATCAAATGAAATAGCATGTTAAATTCTCCGTAAACTCTAAAGCATCGTGTAAATATGTGAGACATTTGTGAGTTTTACATGCCTTTCCCTTTTACATTTCAGGCAGAACTTAGAAGCTTGATGGACAATGCTTCTTCATCCTTTGAATTTGCCAAAGAACTCATCAGGCACAATCTGGTAACAGTTTCCTGTATTGATTGACTTCAGTCCTACTCTGTTTTAGTACACCATGCAATTGGAAAGAGAAATATTATTTCACTCCAAAGGGACATCTTCTTGCAGTGGAGGAAAGCAAATCCATTTAGATCCAAGTGCTCTGTTTTTTTTTTTTTTTTTGACAAAGATAAAGGAACATATCCTGGGGAATTAGCAGACATAGGAAAGATTCTCCGTCCTTTGAAAGCTGCCTGATGTAGAGGTTGCATTCTCTGCAGGGATGTGGCACCAGAGTAAGGATGATATGTGGGGAGGGATGTGAGTAGATTTGATCTTACTGGAACTTCATGTTTGCGCTGGGAAATGCCGCCAAGTGAAATTGGATAAGAGTTGTTAGCTCGGGGACCAGATTATTAATGGTCATTGCTTCTTAAAAAGTCCAGGCCCGGATTGTTTGATTTTATTGACCGTGATGCAGACCTGCTGCTTTCAACACAGACGCTCAGCAATGTCTGCTGAGTTACCCAGTTTTGCTGCGACTCGGGTTCTTCATCTGACAGCGGTGATGATAACCACACGTGTCCCTCCCGATTTCCCCCTGTTAGCATGAATTCTCCTCTATCCTAGTTTAAAACTACAGCTCTTTCAGACATTTCCCCTTTCTTTATTGCCAGTGTCTAAAAACCGATGCCTTTTTTCTTGGCTCTCTGGTATACTTTGTTTTTTTCCCATTCTTTCCCTTACTCATAGCTCCATCAGAGGGTTTGATTCAGATAGTTTGCTAATAAGTGATTCTGTCTCTTATCATTTCTGTTCGGAAATATTTTATAAATTGAAGCCAGCTTACACTTTGTTAGTAATTATCCATTAAAGATAGTAGCCTGGAATTTAAGCCTAGACAGCCATCCAGATTTGAGAATAGGTTTTGATATTACAAAAGTCTTGAGAATTAAATGTAGGAGATTATCAATTGCTGAAGTTCGAATAAATAGGGAAGAATGAGCTAGAAATAGAAATTCCTAAAGAACGACTAGTGGGAGGGCATTTGGTGCAGTGGTTAAGAGACCACTTGGAACCCTACATCCTTTATTGGGGTATCTGCATTTGAATCCAGGCTCCACTTGCAGTTTTGGCCTCCTGCTGATATGTGCCCTGGGAGGCAGAGGATGTCAGCCTGGCACCTGAGTCCCTCCCACACTCCTGAAGACCCAGGTTGAGTCCCTGGCTCCTGACTTTAGACGTAACACTGCTCTGGCTATTGGAGGCATTCGAGGGATGGCCTAGACATCTCTGCTTTTCAAAAATAAATAAATATATACAAAATTGTACCGCATAATTCAAAATAAAAATATATTTAATAAATAAAATAAATAACACCTGTACTCAGTGGGCTAGAATATAGAGATTCAGCAAATGAGACAAGAAAGGGTGGACAAAGCACACCTATTCAGGCATGGGTAGGGGCATCGAGAGTAATAGTAGAGGCAGCTTTTAGAGCAGAAAGTAAAATACTTAAAAATCAAGCAGAGGGGAGGGAAAAGAAGAGAAGGTACAACACATAGGGATTCATTAGGCAATGGTAAATCCTGCCAGCGGTAGAAGTTCATGGGATGCAGCTCCCAGGCCTATCTCAGTTGGATATCATGAGCTCAGCTAGAGGTGGCAGCTCCTTGAACATTTCCAGTAGGGAGCGTGGACATGCTCGTTGCCATAGCAACACAATTTCTCCATCTCTAGGTGGTTTTCCGAGGAGGCGAAGGAGCTTTGCAAGTCTTACCTCCCCTGGTTGATGTGATTCCTGAAGCAAGGCTAAATTTAGTGATTTATTACCTTCGTCAAGGTAAGACAAATGTGTCTTGGTCTTACTTGTGATGAGATATTTTAGAATATTTCATCTCTAACTGAACTACTTTCTAAAATTCCTAAAATCCATACTGCTTTGAAAAAAATTGCGACAGATTCATAGGGTAAAAAAAAAAATTGATTGGTGCTTATTTGTGCCTTTTCTCTTCATCCTCCTCTTTCTGATACAGGTTTCTACCCTCTCTTCACCCATTTTGTTTTCTTGATTACTCTTACTCCCTTTTGCTCTCGTTCTATTTTTATTTTTCCCTTCCTTTCCGTTTCTGTAATTTCCTGCATATAGAACATGCATACATTTCCTTTCATATTTTTATCATTAGATGGTTTATTATATGCCTTTCTTTTTCTTTGTATTCTAAGCATTTATGAGAAGTGCTATGATTCAAAGAAGAGATGATAGTTATTACCCCAGGTAAGGCTAGCCACATTCCCGAAGCAGTCTTCTGTTAGCAGCGAAGAGTCCGTAGCAGTGTCTGCCGTGTGCCGGTTGTGCCATTTTGTCAAGGACCTCAGACGAACACTATGGGCGTTTTCAGACACACAGTGCAAATCAGCCAGGTCGCATTACCCTCATCAAGAATAAGAATATGAACTTTCAGTCTGCTCTATATGCTACAGAAGCAAATAGAAATAGACTGTTGAACAAGGATTAAAGAAATATATTTTATAAATTCATTGTATCATGAAAAAATTCAATCAAAAGCAAAAAGTAAGTGGTACAAGGAATGCCCCATATACTCATCGCAGGTTTAACAATTTTCAAGATAAAGTCAATCATTTTTAATATACTGTCCCCCATTTTTCTTTCTAAACTACTTTAAATAAATGTCAGTATTTGTTATTTCATTCTTACATATGTAAAATATATCTCTGGCCCAGTGCTGTGGTATAATGAGTTAATCTGCCTGTTGTGCCAGCATTTCATATGGGCACCAACTTGTGCCCATCCAGCTCCCTGAGAATGGTCTGGGAAAGCAGCAAAGGATGGCTCAGATCCATGGGCCCATGGACCCACGTGAGAGACCTGGAAGAAGCTCTTGGCTCCTGGCTTTGGATGAGCTAAGTTCTGGCTGTTGTGGCCATTTGGGAAGTGAACCAACAGATGGATACTCTCTCTGTAACTGCTTTTAAAGTAAAAAAATAATAATAAATAAGATACATTTTAAATATATATAATACACACACACACATATGTACACACACATCTCTTTAAAACATGGTCATTTTCCTTTTCTTATTGGCATTTAACACCTGGTTACCTTCTTGCTTATTTTTTTTAGAGACTTTATGGCTTTATGTTATTAAGAATATTCATCTATACAATAACTACTCAACACTGAACTTGATGGGGAGCTGGAAAACAAATAAAACACCATATTTCCCATAAATGTTTGAATACCAAAGGATCTTCTTTTGGCGGGGGGACTGCTACCAAGAAGTTTTCTGGAATGTAAACTAGTATAACTACTTTTTTTATTATATTTCAGATGATGTACAAGAAGCTTACAATTTAATTAAGGATTTAGAACCTACTACTCCTCAGGTAATGGAGCATTGTGTTGCCACTGAAGAAAAATTGTCTTTTCATTTAAACATTTTATTGACAGCTGTTTTGTTGACATAATTATACATATATATGGGGTATATGATGACATTTCTCTCTGTTTCCATTGTGTGCCAAGGAGCATTTAAAAAAATTTTTTTGAGGATTTAGTTTAGTGACTTTTTAAAACTGTGTTTCAATTTTATTTTTGGTAATATTTACATAATTGAGAAGGACAGACGCCTATGTGGACCACCAATTAGGGTCGGAAGGGTCAAGTAATGGGGAAAGCAGATGAGATAATTGCTTCCATTTTTTTTTTTCTTCTTGTATCTGGAGGAAAGGAAGAAAGAAGGGGTGAGAGCCACTCAATGTCATCCCAGGGTTCCCAATGTGGAGCATGTTCCGAGGGCACAGCTGAAGTGATTTTGATAGTTCTGAAATGTTGATTCCATTGCTCCAGGATTGAGGAAATCCTTCCAAGGTCCATTGGCTAGTATAGTCCACCTTAAAGTCTCTACTCGTCCAGATGCTTGCTGTCAAAGCTTGCAAGACAGAGTTGTCCAATTTGCTCTGCCATCCATGGTGCTAGACGTCTTCTGCAGGCCTCAAATGAGCTGACATGTCCTCCGTGTGCATCTGAGCATGCTGTCCACCTCACCAGCTTTAGCAACCAAGGAGTTTGCCCATTTTCCCTGTGGTTGGAGTTTTGATACCAGTGGTCCAGTTTGCCGGGGGGGCGGGGGTGGTCCCTAAAGATATCTCACCAGAGGTGACCCCAGACCTGACTCCTGTGTGTGGCAACCAGTGCTGGGTTCAGCTCAGTCTATCATGCACATTAGCCAATATGCACACTGGTGATTATAGTAGTTTGGTCTGTTCTGTCTCCAGCTCGATTTAGCCCCCTTGGTTCCCTGGCCATACCCATTCCCAGCCATAGACCTTGCATCTGCCAGTGGTTGCTCTGACCCAGACTGACATAGCCCATCCCGCAGCTTGACCTTTGTCTTTGGATCCTGCAGCCTGGCCTGACCCAGCATACCCTCAGTCCTAACTTTCGCTGACAGGTACTGCAGCCTAGTTCTCCTCAACCTGTCCCCAATCCCTGGCTTTCCTGCAAAACAGGAGGTGCAGTAGCCTAATGCAGCATTACCTATATCCCATCCTGACTGCTGCATATGCCAGTGTGCTAATATTTGGCCTGGTCCTGCCCAGTCCACCCCTCAAGCCAGCCCACAAACCTGCGTTGAAGTAGAGGAGCCTTGCCCTGCCTGACCAATACGCAGCTTTGACTCACATGCTCACCAGCAAGAACTATGGGCCACAGGGGAGTTCCCTAAGTTCCCCTACCAGGCCCACTCCCAGACCCAGATTCTGGGTAACTTGAGAATATTCTAAAACTATTGAGTAGATGAAAGGAATGACTTGAAAGACATGATTCTGCATTTTTTTTCTTAAATTAGTTAATGTTTGTGTCTCTAGGAATATATCCTTAAAGGAGTGGTCAATGCAGCCCTTGGCCAGGAAATGGGTTCAGTAAGTATAAAATCCTTGGTTTAAGTATGAAATCTATAGTTTACAAAGTTATAGTTGCATGGAAAAGACCAAAATGAGTATATCCATGCAGCCAGTAATAAGCTTACTAGTAGGCTCTTCTCAAGTTTCTTTAATTTCTCCGTATATGCCCAATATAGACTTCAATGAAAAAATCATTCTGTTATTCAGAGGAATTTTTAAAAATCCTTTAATAGTAAAAAAAAAAAAAGGATCCTGTTTTTAAACAGTATAAACCAAATAAAAATCACTGCTCACATTCATTGTTACTTGCAGTGACTTTTTTAAAATCCTGAATATCTCTGAATTATCACTCTGATGTCCGTAATGTGAGGTAAATTGTCTCACTAGGAAAGCTTTCTATAAGCAGCAAAACATTGTCTAAAATTAAGCCTTTATCCACCTTTAGTTAGCATGTTGGGCTTTCTGGAGAGCAAAGCAAGATATAAATAAATGTAAATAAATCTTTCTATTCCTAGCTCACTCTACAGTGCCTTAAATAATAGTATTTATTGAATAAGTAAGCTTGATTACTATTCCTTGTTATGTTTAAAGCTCTTCTTCAAGGTCTAATATTTGGTTAAAAAGTAATAAATATTTGTTGAATGAATTGATGAGTAAATGAATGCATTCGTTTAATAAAGAGGCAAGTTAGAGTTTGGAGTTTTTTCTTTTTATGTTTTTGTATGGACCCTGCAAAATTTAGCTTCAGGTTATTCTAGTTGCTTATGCTAATGAGAATCAGTACTGTTTGGGACAGGATTTAAATCAGGATGTATGTGAAGTCCTGAAAAATGCAGAATCATACAGTGTAATACAAATCCGGCACTTTGACCACCGTCCTCGGTGTCTGCTCTGCTTTGCTTTCCAGAGGGATCATTTGAAAATCGCCCAGCAGTTCTTCCAGTTGGTAGGAGGATCAGCCAGTGAATGTGGTATGTCTGAAACCTGGACTTACTGACTTGGAGTTGGAGTTGGGCATATGTAAATGAATGAACTTTGATTATTTATTTAGGCTTGTGTCAGTTAGACTTTGCATCAGAAGTGGGTCAGAATCAGAGAAAACTGAAATTAGCATTCCTCAACAACTCAGACAGTGGGTAAAATAATGTTTTTTTTAAGAGAGTAAATTTACTTTTTAATTAATGAGAGTTTTAAATCTTTAAAACAGTTGTAGACATGAAAAATTAGGTTTGATTGATTTTTCAGAAGCTCTTTATATGATTACCTTTTGTCACATTGCAATACTTTTCCAGTAAGTCATTAGCCTTTATATTTTGCCTATGCTATATTTTACCATATAAAATAAAATGCTGGGGGCCCGGTGCCATGGCCTAAGCAGCTAAAGACCTCGCCTGGAATGCACTGGGAGCCTATATGGGTGCTGGTTCTAGTCCCAGCAGCCCCACTTCCCATCCAGCTCCCTGCTTGTGGCCTGGGAAAGCAGTTGAGGACGGCCCAAAGCCTTGGGACCCTGTACCCACATGGGAGACCTGGAGGAGGTTCCTGGCTCCTGGCTTCGGATCGGCGCAGCACCAGCCATTGTGGTCACTTGGGGAGTAAATTATCAGACAGAAGATTTTCCTGTCTGTTTGTCTTCCTCTCCATATATCTGACTTTGCAATAAAAATAAAAAATAAATCTAAAAATAAATAAATAAATAAATAAAAGTGAACTTAGGAGCTGGCATTTGGTTTAGTGCTCAAGATACCAGTGGATGCCCATATTCTGTCATGTCAGATGCTCCATTCCTGATTCCATTTTCCTGCTAATTCGGACCTTGGGAGTCAGCGATGATGACCCAACAGTTGGATTCAGGATTCCCATATAGGAGACATGCTCTGGGCTCCTGGCTGCAGGCTCTAGCCCTACCTGGCCACTGCAAGCATTTGGGGAATGACCTCTCAGATCAGTTCTCTCTCTCCCGTGTATCCTTCTACTTGTCTGAAAAAAAAAACTCATAAAATTTTTAAATATTAAAATAATACTTTATAGTTGTTTATTTATATTATTTGAAAGGTACAGTTAGAAAGATGTTCCAGGTACTCTTTCACTCCTCAGTTGGCTGCAACAGCCGGAATTGAGCCAATCTGAACCCAGGATCAAGAGCCTGTCTCTCACATGGATGCAGAGGCCTAAGGACCCAGAGCATCCTCCACTGCTTTCCCAGGCCGTCAGCAGGGAGCTGGATTGAAAGCAGAGCAGTGGGAAAATGAATTGGTGTCCATATAGGATGTCCATATGTGATTTCATTAATCTGTTAGTCTTAGGAAGTACTTCCCTAACCACTGTAGTTAAATAATATTTGTATATACTACTTACTAGTAGCCTTATGGCTTCATTCTTCTTCTAAAAGTATTTATCAGTCAGTATTCAGTACAAGAAGGAGCTGTGCTGTGGAAAAGGTTGTTGGCCTATGTGAACTTAGGTAACCACCTGTATCGTTTGTGAACAGCTAGCTTTTATTCTGATTGACAGTGTTCATGCTGAATAGATCGTTAAATATTTCAACACTCCTGCCTGGATATTCACAGATGTTTCACAAATACTATTTATTGATTAATATTTTTCTCCATTTTGTTCTTTCACACAACAAAAACTTATTGAAGGGATACATCAGTAGAGAAAGCTAACACAACTCCCTGCCCTGTTGGAGTTTAGAAATATAATGTATTAATAGATTATATGTGTATTACATTGTGATTAGTGCTGTGGTCGGGGGTCATGCTAATCCTCTGTACCTCAAATAGGATCCAAATCAGATGCTTCAATCACAGATTGTTTCTCCATTTGACGTTGGAAGTTGGACTGGGATGAGAGAATCTAAGCCCTGGAAAAAATTGCTTTTTTGAGGGGGAGGGGTCCCCCCACCAGTGTTCCTGTAGAGCACATGTTCACTTTCTAGCATTTAACCCCAAGGAGAATGGTGGTCACTCTCCACTATTGGAACTCCACCTTCCTGAGGCTTTACCGGCCCAGAACTTCAAAAGATGTCTTGAAGTACATTCCTACTTTTAGATTTTAAAAGTAGCTCAAATTTCAGCTAAAGTGGGGTGTTTGCTAAAGTGGGGTGTTTTTCAATTTTCACACATATACATACTTTCTCTCCCCTTTCCATTTCAGATACCATTCCAGGCAGACAATGTATGGCTTCCTGTTTCTTCCTGCTTAAGCAATTTGATGACGTCTTGATTTACCTCAACTCATTTAAGGTCAGCATAGACTTGTATGACTCTCTATATAAAATGTCCAGTATAATGTGTTAGAGAGTGTAAGATATCCTTAGAAATGGACCTGTTTCTGAGATGGCATTAATGGCTGCTTCCTTAAGGTGATATTGTGGGGGGTCGGCGCTGACGTTGTGTTCCATATAGTGCTGATTCAAGTTCCAACTACTCTAGTTCCAATCCAGCTCCCTGATAATGTAACTCAGAAAGCAGTGGAAGATGGCTCAAGGGCTTGGGGCCCTGCCACCCGCTTGAGAGACCCAAGCTTGAGGTTGGCCTAGCCTCGCCATTGTGGCCATCTGGGGAATGAATCAGCAGATACTAGACCCCCTTCTCTAGCTCCTCCTCCCTGTCATGCTGCCTATCAAGTAAAAATATCTTGTTTCTTCACTGTTTAAAGAATTTTTATTGGGCCCGGCGCGGTGGCGCAAGTGGTTAAGTCCTCGCCTTGCACGCCCGGGATCCCATATGGGCGCCGGTTCTAATCCCGGCAGCCCCGCTTCCCTTCCAGCTCCCTGCCTGTGGCCTGGGAAAGCAGTTGAGGACGGCCCAAAGCTTTGGGACCCTGCACCCGCGTGGGAGACCCGGAAGAGGCTCCTGGCTTCGGATCGGCATAGTATCGGCCCGTTGCGGCTCACTTGGGGAGTGAATCATCGGATGGAAGATCTTCCTCTCTGTCTCTCCTCTCTGTATATCCGCCTTTCCAATAAAAAAAAAAAAATAATAAAAATAAATCTTTAAAAAAAAAAAAAAAAAAGAATTTTTATTAAAGCAAGAATTTTATCATCCAAATTCCATTTTCTCACTCAGTTCTGTTCCTTAAACAGAGCTAACCTTCTGAGCTATTCCACAGTAAAGAATTACAAAATTATAGGAAGGAATGCTTTCGTTTTTGTACTTCGCTGAAAATTCTTTTACCAGGGTCGATAAAATATTCATTTGTTTTTGTTTTATATTTTACTATTTTGTGAGGGGTTTTTGTTATTTTTAAATCAATTAAAAAAAAATCTAGTTTTAGCATTGTGCTGGCTAGACCTGGCATTTGCTCAGTACATAAGATTCAAAGTTTCTTTTCCTTTTTTGTTCTTTATTTTGTATTTTGCTGTTTCTCATAATTTCTAAGTTTTTCAGTGTTCAGATATTTTTCTTCAGTGGAACACGAGTTTATTTTTGTGGTGCCTAATCAGTTCTGGGCACCAGTGGCAGGGTTCAGTTTCTGGGGAGTCTCTCCAGTGTGGTGGGCCTGCAGGTCAGCTATGACTTCATCAGCTCTGGAGCAGAGAGACTTGGGGACTTCGGCGTGTGAAGCAGCTCTGAATTACTCATCTCCAACATGCCGATGGTTTTACCAGCAAGAGTGGGATGCAGGCTTGAATAGGAAGGAACAGCCATTCAGCCAACATTTGCTGTTGCTCTAGACAGGGAGCACATGCCAACATGGAAGCAGTCAAAGCTTCCTGACTTTGTACATGCACAGCAGACTGCTGCGTGGTAACCCGTGGCTGCACATTCAGATGTTGCGAGTGCCTGCAGCATGTTGGCATGTTTGTACCGCACAACAGGGCAGCTGCAGGACGTGAGCCTGTTGTGTGTGTTCATTTGTGATAGCAATACGCTGTGTGGACGCGACTCGCGGGACCCGCGAAGAAGCTGGTGTCATGGTACTAAATGGTGTTCTAGGAGTACCTGGGCACATAGCACCAAGCATATTTTGGAATGGATGAGGGGGTACCCTGGCAGTCCAGCAAGGACTTGGTCTCAGTTGAGCAATGTGGCTAGAAGGATAGTATGCAGCACAGTCCCGAGCCGGTGGCATCGCTGCCCTGGCGTAACCTGAAGGAAGTGCGAGCTGGTAAGGGTTGATCACGGGGTTGGGCACAGCTCGTACACCTGCCGTTCTCTGCATGTGCTGCTTGCGGAGGTGAGCCCGGTGCTCCTCCTAAACAAATATTTAAAGAAACAATCATGGTATTTTCAATGGTATAACTGATGATTTGATATTTTATGTGTTAGTGCTCAATGTGCCCTCTTTTGGGGATGTCTTTCAGAGCTATTTCTATAATGATGACATCTTTAACTTCAATTATGCACAAGCCAAAGCTGCCACAGGCAATACCAGTGAAGGTGAAGAGGTGGGTACCTGCTTGAGAAGGTATTTCCATGAGCCTGTCTACAAACTCCTTCATTGTTTCTCACACACAAAAAAAAGTCAAGAGGAAAAGATTATTACAGAGTCTTTTATTTTTAGGTTATATTAAAAAGTAAAAGGTGAAAATATATGAAGATTTTTATAACCATAATAATGGTTTCGCTTTTTGATAAATTTTATGAAAGCATAGCCTATGTGCGGCCTGATGGATATTTAAAAAATGAATATACCCACGTGGTCAGTACTGGGTCATGGAATAATGGTACCCTATCCCTAGAATTTCCTTCTCCTATGGGTAACTGCTGTTCTTATTTCAGACTCAGTAGATTGATTTATCTGAATTATTCAAAATAAGCTTTTTAACAATGTGTTTTAGTCAAGAAGTTACTCGTTATTCAAATTCTGCTTATTTTCTAATTCCCATTATGATTTCTTCTATGACCTGTGAGTTATTTAAAACTCATTCCAGGTTTCAATTACATGTGCTATCCCTTTCAAGATTTTTGGTTTGATTTTTTTTTTTTAAGATTTATTTTTACTTGAATTGATTTGTTAACTAATTGTATTGTGGACCTGGGTGTGCTCTGTATGACACCAGCCGTTTAACATTGAGTGAGACCTGCCTTATCGACTTGTATCAAGGTGTGTTTATTCAAAAAAAAGTATGCATCCTGCCATTGATTATTCTAAACCATTACCAACTTGTTGTCAGCTTATGGTGTCAATTACTGGGGTAAGTAAGTTAGAATCACCTTCACTTTGTCCTTCATCTTTCTTAGCAACCTGTAGAGTTGAAGGTCATCTCATGTTGCAGCGATCACACGCCAAGGCGAGCTTCCGGTGGGTGTGCTCTGCGTAAAGCCGTGCTCACACTCACTGCTGTGCTCTCCCTCTCTCGCAGGTCTTCCTCTTAATCCAGAGTGAGAAGATGAAAAACGATTACGTTTACCTCAGTTGGCTAGCTCGGTGCTGTGAGTCTCACCTTTTCCTGTTACAAGAGGAATCTCTTTTTTCTTCTTGGTCGCATAATCGGGAAATTATCTTGAGCATTTTTTAAATCTCATTGGATATTTTACCCTGTGAAAATCAGAAAACACTGAAATTAAGGGTTTTCGTGCTATTCAGTAAAAATTGCCATGTAAATGGTCCTGCAAACTTATTATTAGTTTTACCTTACCACATTGACCTAACATTTACAGTCCTGAAATATTTCTTGGTTTTTCTTTAGCTTATTCATTTTTCTAGAGTCTCAGTTTATACTTTATGAGATACTATTATTACGCTGATTTTATCTCTTTAGGTCTAAATAGTTTTAACATGCCAAAATAATTTGTTTTGGTATATCTCATAGCCAATGATCTCTTTCTCATGCACTCACTTATTTTTCTTTTTTTTACTAGGTTTTTCTATTTTTTTTTTCTTTAAAGGAGAGTGGGCAGAAAGGTAAAGAGACAGAAACAGAAAAAGATCTTCTATCCACAAATGTGCTTAACTGATGGGTAACTAGTCCAAGCTGGAGCCAGGGGCCTGAATCTCTTTCCAGGTCTTCCACTTGAGTGCCAAACACCCAAGCACTTGAACCAACACTCCTGCCAATGCAATGCAGGGTCTACATCAGCAGGAAGCTGAATCAAGAAGCAGAGAGAGGACTGGAACTCCAGGCTTTGGTACAGGATGTGGGCATGCCAAGCAGCTTCCTAACTGCCATGCCAAATACCCACCCTTGTAGGTTGTGAATTTGTAGTTCCAGGAAAATTTTCAGTCAGATAATCTAAGTAAGGCTGAACTAAAAGTAAAGTTGAATGAAGGATAGATATCCTCTTTTAAACAGATAAACAAAGTGGAAACTCCTGGAAGTCAACTTAATCTAAAAGACACAAGTATATGAATGCTAATTTAGATATTTTCAATATGGTAGAGGGCCCGGCATGAAGGTTCAATGGCTAAATCCTTGCAACCACCAAGAACGCATATAGACCCGATTCATGTCCCAGCTGCTGCATTTCCCTTCCAGCTCCCTGCTTGTGGCCTGGGAAAGCAGTCGAGGACAGCCCAATGCTTTGGGATCCTGCACCCGTATGGGAGACCTGGAAGAAGTTCCTGGTTCCTGGCTTAGGATTGGCTCAGCTCCAGCTGTTGCAGCCATTTGGGAATAAACCAGCAGATAGAAGATCTTTCTCTCTGTCTCATTTCCCTTTGCAAATCTACCTTTCCAATAAAAATAAGTAAAACTTTAAAATAACGTTAAATATGGTAGAGTTCTGATAGGGGAATCACTCTCATGCCAACTTTGTAAATGTTCCTTGGAAAAGGCAGTCTAGGGACTAGCACTGGTAGGTTAAGCCTCTGTGGCACCAGCATCCTCTATGGGCACCAGTTCATGTCCCGGCTGCTCCACTTGCCTTCCAGCCCTCTGCTGATAGCCTGGGAAAGCAGCAGCAGATGGCCCAAGTGTGTGAATTTCTGTTACCCATGTTAGATAGCCAGATGAAGCTGCCGAGTCCTGGCTTTGGCCTGTCCTGACCTTTGTAGCATCTGGAATGAATCAGGGGATAAAAGAGTTTCTCTGTGTGTCCCTCCCTCACTCTCTATAACTCTTTACAATAAATAAATTGACCTTAAAAAAAAGAAAAAAAAGGAAGTTGTTTTATACATTTAAAAATCATGCATCTTTGTTTCCTTTGGCAGATATCATGAATAAAAAACCAAGACTAGCCTGGGAACTTTATCTCAAGATGGAAACTTCTAGTGAATCCTTTAGTATCTTACAGCTCATTGCTAATGACTGCTACAAGGTGAGTCTAAGTAGGACTGAAAGGGAAATTGAAGGTGGTCAGTGTCACATTGCTGCCCTGACTCAACAATAGAGAAAGTGTCCTAGAAACTTAATGGCTAGTGGTGAAAGAATTTGACTTGTAATCTTACAAATGCCATCCTTTTTATGAATGGGCTGAACTCAGAGATAGGCAGCATTTCAGTTTTTATGTATGGATTAAATCATGATTGAAAGAGGAAGTTTTAGATTCCCAGAAGTTATGGTTCTTTAGGTACCATCTAAGTGGAGTTGGACTCTCCAGTATTTAGAAATTTGATTTCAAAGCTCAAGAAACATATGTCCGGAAAATTGGAAATGCATGTTGGGAAATCCTGTCAACTTTTTAAGATGTATTTATTTTTATTTGAAAAGCAGAGTTACAGAGAGAGGAAGAAGCAGAGAAAGCAAAATCTTCTATCTACTGGTTTACTTCCCAAATGGCCACAACAGCCAGAGCTAAGCTGATCTGGAGCTGGGAGTCAGGAGCTTCTTCCAGCTCTCCCATGTTAAGTGCCTGAAGCCTTGGGTCACATTCCACTGCTTTCCCAAGCCATAACCAGCAAGCTGGATCATATGTGGAACAGGCAGGACACAAAATAAAGCCCTATGGGATGTCGGTACTTGCAAATAGAGGATTAGCCTGTTGGGTTGCCATGCTGACCCAAATTAACAGTTCTAAGTAGGAATTAAAACCCTGAGAAACAGCAAGTTAAGGAAGAAGAGCTGTAATCCAATTTTTGAAGAATACTAAGATGTAAGTGGTAGATAGCAAAGACAAAGAAACAGAAAAAGAGAATGCAAATGGAATCAGAATCAGTAAAGAACTGCTGAGAGGACCCAGTGCGATGGCATGGTGCCTAAAGTCCTAGCCTCGATTGTGCCAGGATCCTATATAGGTGCTGGTTCTAATCCCGGTGCTCCAGGCTCCTGGCTTCAGATTGGCTCAGCTCCAGGCATTGCAGCCACTTGGGGAGTAAATCAGCAGACAAAAGATCTTCCTCTCTGTCTCTCCTCCTCTCTGTATAGCTGCCTTCCCAAAAAAAGAAGTAAATCTTTAAAAAAAAAAAAGTGTGTGTGTGGTCGAGTGAATGGATGGATGGATGGAAGGATGGGTGGATATCTACGCATGGGCACACATTTTTATATGGAGCTGAAATGGCAGGAATTAGGCAGTAACTTGGGGTTTTATCCTATAGATTAAAAGCGTTTTTTAATTAGCCTCATATTGTAGAATGTTCTATTTTTGAAATATCTCATCTTGCCTAATGATAGCAATGTCAGGTAAAGAGAATCTGGGGCTAAATTCATCAGGATTAGTTTATTTTACGGTGAATCATCTATATATTTATCTTCATTTAATTATCATCAATGGAAGCATTTTAAGACATAAGGAAACTTGAAAACACTAATTTAAACCTAACTTTGATGGATGGCAGTGATGCTAAGTCAGGAGGGAGAGGAAAGTAAAACATTAAACGACAGGAAATTGTTTCAGTTTTAACAGTATCAAATCTCAAGTGTCTTTGGGGCTCCCAGTACAGAGAATAGGAAATTATTAAGCATGAAGCTTAAATGCTCCTGTGAGAGGTGGAATGTTGGGTCTTAGCAAGTTAGTGGTGGTAATAGTAATAGCAGTGGCAGCAGCCAAGTATGAAGAGAGTAATATTAACAAGTAAATACAATGAGGAGCCATGTGGAACAACAAAGTTAAAGGCTAGAACGAGTGAAAGTGAAAGACCTCTCTTTAGGGTGAGCATCGTGGTGCAGCAGGTTAGGCTATCAGAGTGGTTTGGGTCTCAGCTGCTTCACTTCCAATCCAGCTCCCTGCTGATTTGCCTGGGGATGCAGTGGATGGTGGCCCAAGCCCTCAGAACCCTGCAACCCACATGGGAAACCCAGATGTTATTCTTGGCTCTGCTGTGGCCATTTGGGAAAGTGAACCAACAAATGGAAGATTTTTCTCTCTCTCTCTTAGTCAAATTAGGTCACACATGCTGCAGGTCTAACATAGACTCACATCTTTACAGTTGTGGTATTGAAGATAAGGAGAAAAGTTTGAAAACAGAGTTTGGGATTTCAGGTTGGGGTGGTAAATAGACTCATTTCTTTTAAATATAAGAGATACAAATATCATTCACTTACTTCATGCCCCAACAGTTATATTCTTTTTATATTAGAGAAATGAAAACCTGTGTCCAAATACACAACTGTTACATAACACAATTTTTTTTAAGATTTATTTATTTTTATTGCAAAGTCAGATATACAGAGAGGAGGACAGACAGAGAGGAAGATCTTCATCCAATGATTCACTCCCCAAGTGAGTGCAACGGCCAGTGCTATGTCGATCCAAAGCCAGGATCCAGGAACTTCTTCCGGGTATCCCACACGGGTGCAGGGTCCCAAAGCTTTGGGCCGTTCTCGACTGCTTTCCCAGGCAGGGAGCTGGATGGGAAATAGAGCAGCCAGGATTAGAACCAGCGCCCGTATGGGATCCTGGCGTGTTCAAGGCGAGGACTTTAGCCACTAGGCCACGCCGCCGGGTCCAAGTGGAGTTTTTTTTAAGATTGTTTTTATATTTATTTGAAGGGCAAATTTACAAAGAGAGAATGAGAGACAGAGAGATCTTCCATCTACTGGTTCACTTGCCAAATAGTCACAAGGGCCAGAACTAGGCTGATCTGCAACCAGGAGCCTGGAGGTTCTTCCAAGTTTCTCCCATGAGTGGAGCAGCCCAAGGATTTTTGCCATCCTCTCTGCTGTTTTCCCCAAGCACAGTATCAGAAAGCTAGATAGAAAGTGGGGCCGTCAGGACTCTAATCAGTGCCCACGTGGGATGCCAGCACCACAGCCAGAGACTTTAACTTACGACACCACAGCATTGGCATCCATGAATGTAATTGTAACTGAAAGTAGAAAAGTTGTTTTTCTTACAAAGTATAAAATAAAGCTAAGAATGCAGTAGAGGTCTTAAGGAAATTGTCAGAAGCTTAGAAAACATTTAATAAACTAGAGAAGCTACTAACCACCACCGAAGAGAGGTTGCCAGCATTGTCTGGGCTTAACAGTATATGTATGGTTGCCAGGTAAGAAAACTCAACTCAAGAAAATTTAGTGGTATTCAGTGTGGTTTTAGGGCCACAGAAAGTATGGTCTATTTAGGGATGGTGTCTGTCAAAGTCAGTTAAATTTTGTGAAGAGCAGTGTTGAGAGTAGCAGTATACATACAGGCATTCTGGTAATTTCGGAAGAAGATCAGAGAACGGCCACTGTTGAGTTGAACACGATCCGATTAGCACAGGATCAGTGACAGTGATCCTCTAAAACAGAAGGTCCAAGGGAGGTTTGAGAGGCCTGTGTGGTGGCTGCCTAGGCTAATCCTTCATCTGTCATGCCAGCATCCCAGATGGCTGCCGGCTCATGTCCCACCTACCGCGCTTCCAGTCCTGCTCCCTGCCTATGGCCTGGGAAAGCAACAGAGAATGGATCAAGTCCCTGGGCTCCTGCACCCACGAAGGAGCCTTGGAAGGAGCTCCTGGCTTCAGATGGGTTTAGCTCTGGCTATTGTGACATTTTGGGGGTGAACCAGGGGGTGGGAGATCTTTGCGTCTCTTTCCTTCTCTTTCTGCAAACCTACCTCTCAAATTAAATAAATCTTTAAGAAAAATACCCAGTTGAAATCATGGTTATCAGTCTATTCTCATGATTAGGATATAATTAGGAAGAAAATGATGAATCTGTTAATTACAGCATAACTTGACCATGTGCAGAAAAAAATATTGCATTATTGAAAAATGAATGAAGGTAAGCTAATTTAAGCTCGGCATATGTAGCCAAACTTTGGTTTCCTTCTTGTTATTTTAATTAAGAACTGGAATGTACCTAATTTGCTAGCTGAAAGTATTGTCATTACCCATGCACTTATTTCATATGGCTCTGTTTTATGTTGTATTTATGTTTGGTTTCACTTCCTTTTGTCCAGATGGGTCAGTTTTACTACTCAGCCAAAGCCTTTGATGTGCTCGAGAGGCTGGACCCCAACCCTGAATATTGGGAAGGCAAAAGGGGTGCCTGTGTGGGCATTTTCCAGATGATCTTAGCTAAGAGAGAACCCAAGTAAGTGAACAACTGGGGGGTCTGCCCCTATTCATTTGTTGCCTTGTGACGGCCAGGATTTGTGTCCCTGTGTGGTGTCATCTGAAAACCCAAAATCGTAATGATGTTGGAGAAAGATGAAAACAATTGAGGTGTTTGCTGTTTCTGTCTGAGCATTTTGCTGTACAAATATTTCATCTCTTGGCATCAAATTATTCTCGTCATGGCTTTTTGTATTAAGTATATTTTACAGATCTCTAATGTAGCAGCAAGATATATATTTGAATCCAAATGACTACCCATTTGCATAAGAAAGTCTGGTCTGGTCTTTCTTTTGTCTTCTTTGCCTATTGGCTTTTCCTTATGTCTTCGTTTAAACCTCAGAAAAATTAAGAAAAGAGTGGATGTGGTTGATAATTTTTTTCCCTCTGCCTCCTCATCTTCCAGGAAGTACTAAACATTAGATAACAGAGCATTACATGGCTGATAGCAGCATTTGAAATAAAAATCGAAACACTTATAACTAAATTTACTATTCTCTTTTTTTTTTAAGATTGATCTATTTATTTTGAAAACCAGAGCTACAGAGAAAGAGCAAAAAAAAACATATCTTCCACACAGTGGAACTGGTTCACTCCCCAGGTGGCCGCAATGGCCAGGGCTGGGTCAGGCTAAAGCCAGGAGACAGGAGCTTCATGAAGGCTCCCATATGGGTTATAGGGCCCACATGCTAGGGCCATCTTCTGCTGCTTTCCTAGGTGCGTTAGCAGGGAGCTGGACCATCATCCATATGGGATGATGTATCCGAGGCAGCAGTGTTACCTGCTATGCAACAATCCTGGTCCTTAAATTCCGTATTCTAAAACTAATTTCCTGAAATATATTTGTTACTGGTGATTTAATAATAAATGAGATCATTTTGTAAGAATACACCAAAAAATTACTTTCTGCCTTGTCCTCTGCAAAAGTTCGATTTGGTTAGGTGAAAGAGGTTACCTATTCTGGAAGAATTAGAACTATGAGAAGATTCTTAGGAAAATGGATTCTTTGGCAGTCACCTATAGATTTATACAGCCATAGGAGAGTTTAGCAGGTATTATTTAAATTATAAACATTCGTTTTAATTAAAGTTAAATTTAAACTTAATTTAAATTTAATTAAATTACTTTAATTAGTTAAAGTAATTTAAAACATAATAAAAAAACATAAATGTTGGGCTTTTGCCAATTCTTAATCCTGATTGCTACTTTAGTCCATATTTATTAATGTTTGACTTTCCTTAAAGAAATCACTCATTCTTTTAGCTTCGTAAAACTTTACAAATGTTGGGCCTGGCATGATAGCCTTGTGGCTCAAGTCCTCTCCTTGCATGCGCTGGGATCCCACAGGGGCGCTGGTTCATGTGCCAGCTGTTCCACTTCCCATCCAGCTCCCTGCTTGTAGCCTAAGAAAGCAGTCTAGTATGACCCAAAGCCTGGGGACCCTGCACCCGTGTGGGAGTCCCAAAAGAGGCTCCGGGCTCCTGGCTTCAGATCGGTCAACTCCTGCCATTGCGGCCGCTTGGGAAGTGAATCATCAGTCGGTAGATCTTTTTCTCTCTCTCTCCTCTCTCTGTATAATTTCCTTTCCAATAAAAATTAATTAATATTCTTTTTTTAAAAAACTTTACAAATCTTATAGGGAAACTCTGTGGAAAAAATGTAAGACACACAAACTAATGAATTGTTAGCAGCAGAGGTAAAATTTGAGCCCAATCCCCTGAACCAAACTCCCGAATATACCTTTTCATGCAAGATAAGCACCAAAATTGGGATATTTAGGTCATCCCAGAGAGGAGAAAACCATTAACAGCATGTGTCCAGTTGGTGAGGAAGAGGGTTGGCGAAGGTGGCAGACGCTCCATCTCACCGTGCCCCTCTAGAACAGAAAGCAGTGCAGTTTCTGGACAGTTTGTGACCACACAGTGGGGGACGCCGTGAGCGAACGCACTGCGACAGAGACGGTATGCGAACATCAGGAGTTTAACTTTCATCTTTTCCTGCAACCTTTTGTTCTTTCCAATCTTTTCCTCAGAGAGACACTTCGAGAAGTCCTCCACCTGCTGAGAAGCACGGGGAACACCCAGGTGGAGTACATCATCCGGATCATGAAGAAATGGGCCAAAGAGAACAGGGTGCCTGTGTGAGACAGCGGGAGGAGCCCCGGGAGCCGGCTGCTTCCGCCTGGCGTGGATGCGGAAATCATTGCTCTCAAGCTTCCTGTACAAGGCAGGGCTCTGTCTGATGGACATTTTCCTCCCTTGCTCCTCACATCTCCAGGTCATTGACTGACTTACCTGGACCCAGCCTCCTGGCTGAACAAAGTGTCACAGTCTAAAACTGTGGCCCCTGTGCGGTCCTCCTAGCAATAAGACTGTGTGAACTTACCCAGTGCCTTTTTTCCAGAACTATTGGAGACGCTTACGTAATCTACTGATTTTAAAGAGAACAGCATAACTTTGTGTCGTTGTCAGCATTTCATAATATTTTCGCGTAGCCATGATGACAAATGTATTTGATTCTCAGTCACTATCATTCTGCCGTCGGAATATTAACCACCTCTGCACACACTCTCATATTGGTAGGAATTTCATAAAGGGTTTTATGATACAGCTCCACATTTGGGAGAAGAGTGGTCTTTAAGTAGCTATGTGTTCAAAGAGTGGCAGTGAGATCCCTGCTCAAACCGTCACTATAGGATGTCACAGGCTATTGGATTCCTGTTTCAATAATTGTTGATAATAACAACATGTTACAGGGAGTAAGGCGAGTACCATCGTTTTTAAAGATGAGCACTGGAAATTGTGTGTGTGTGTGTGTGTGTGTGTGTGTGTGTGTGTGTGTGTGTGGTACCTCTGAAGGTGTGTGTGTGTGTGTGTGTGTGTGTGTGTGTGTGTGTGTGTGTGTGTGTGTGGTACCTCTGAAGGTATTTAGGAAACAAAATGCACAAATCATATTAGTCACATCTCCGTGTTGTAAGGGTTTTCCAGGAATATTTGTGGAAAGGAGAATCAAAAGGTAAGCTCATCTGGTGCAAAGCATTGATATATAGTGTCTTCATGATACACACAGTCTATTGTCCACTGATCTTTTTGAGGACCTATCCTATTTTAATAACAAAGCACATTAGAATTCTTAAAGTGTATCTTGCTGAATAAAGTTTTGCAAGTAGGGCTATAAACATTATACACACACACACACACACACGCACGGGCTTTTAAATACAAAGCAATGATAAAATGTGTGGAGTCCTTTGAGGGACCTCCTACTGCCTGGCCCCATGTGTCTGAGCTCTCACGCCAAGCTGCTCCATAACTGAGCTCCCTTAGCTTCACAGACTGTTTTTAGAACACAGACCCATGTCTTTTTGTATACCAGCTCTTCCTTGTTTCTAGCCATCGCTGGCCAGTGAGGGACAGGTGGGTGGAAGGAAAAACTGAAAAAAACAAACAAAAAACCTAGAATACCTGAAGTACACAAGTCAGAAGAATTTTTTTGTGACTAGAAGAGTTTGTACAGCTCAGAGGGAGGGGCGCCTGAGAGCAGCCCGAGAGATGGGTGGTGTGGAAGGCAGCCTGCACTTTCTGGGTGGGCGCAAGGCGTTCTCAGAGCTCTGCTCAGGCCGCTGGCCAGCTTGCTTGTCTTTTAACTTAAATCGAGATCTCATCAGTTCAGAGCACGCATGAAAATTAACTGGCCCAACTAAATTCCAAGAAAGAAAGCTATGTCGTGTGGTGTGTTACATCTCCATTGCGCCTCTGTTTCTCCTTTCTGTTGCTCCTGTTCTGTTCGTTCTAACTGGTTCTCAGCATCTGAGGGACCAGGTGCGTCCCTTCTGGGCATAAGCTGTTGCAATTTTTTGGAGTCATTCATATACATCTTATCCCACTGAAAAGAGCAGAAAATGCAGTCATGGGGGGGAGAGATAGAACTCCTCAATAGCTTTCAGCAATGAACTTTGTCTTCCAGTGAATTGATATCATTTTAAAATTTGCTATACTTGCAAAGCTTTTCCACTGATGGTAAGTTACTTTTCATCAAACTGTTGTTGAATTTAACACTCAAGATTTTCTCTGTCTCTTGGGAAAAAAAAACATTTTTCTGTCTTTTGGGGGGAAAATTTCAAAAATATCAGAATTGTAGACTAATTTTTACAAGTTTCTTTGATCTCTAAAATTAAGCCAAAAAAATGACTAGCTTAACAAAAAACTACCATCCAATTCTGCTGTTAAGGGTAGCTACTTCTGAAATGTCTTGATAGGGTTTCTAGATTTCATAATAATGTCATACAGCTGCTATTCTGAGATATGTTATGGGAGAGTGGAAGGCTTAGGCTCAAGAATGGAGTGTACCATGTACAGTTTATAGCATCAATGTACTACTTATAATCTTCAACATATATTACATGCAAATGCAAAAAAATCTTACAATTATTTTTGTACTTCAAAATAATTATTCTATTCCACTGCATTATATTCTAATTAAAATGTTTATTTCATTTTTATTACATAATACTTTTGTGTGTAATCATTGCATGACCTGGGTGGATGGGTTTTGTGCCTGTTCCCTTTTCTTACCCAGCCCTAGGATAGAGGGAAGAAAATTATGTTCTGGGCTCCACGAGTTATCAGAAAACTTAAAGCAATGCAGGGAAAGAGCCTGATCTCTTCAACAAATGCTGTGGGGACAACTGGATAGCAGCCAGCAGAGGTAAGAGGCAAGACCCCCCCTCGTCCCCCATCACCTTATACAAAAATCAGCTCCAAGACGATCAAGGAACTCAATCTGCACTCAGAAACCATCAAAATATTAGAAGAAAACATAGGAAACACTCTCCAAGAAATAGGAATGGGGAAAACTTCTTGGAAAAAACACCAAAAGCACAGGCAGTCAAAACCAAAATAAACAAATGGAGCTACATCAAACTAAAAAAGCTTCTGTACAGCAAAGGAAACAATTAACAAAGCAAAGAAGCACACTGCACAACTGATAGGGGACTAATATCCAGGATCCATAAAGAGCTTCAGAAACCCAGGACAGTAATAATAATAATGGGAAAATCCTGTGAAAAAAAATAGGAAAAGGAAATGAGCAGAGATTTTTCAAAAGAACAGATCCAAATGGCTAACAGACATATGAAAAGATGCTCAGGCTCCCTAATCGTCAGGGAGATGCAAATGAAAACATTGAGGTTGCACCTAACTAACCCTAATCCTAACCTATAACTCTAACCCGACTCCAGTGAGGTTGGCCTACATTCTCAACTCTACTACCGATACCTGCTGGTGTGGATGTGGGGAGAAAGGTACCCTCCTTCACTGCTGGGGGAGTGTGGACTAGTGCAACCACTATGGAAGTCAGTATGGGGAGCGCTTAGAGAATTACCAATAAGCCTGCTTTATGAATCAGCTATCCTGCTCCTAGGAATATATACAAAGGAAATTAAATCTTCATATGAGAAAGGGATGTGTAAACGTATATTTACTGCAGCACAAGCTACAATAGCAAAGACATGGAAACAACCTAGATGCCCGTCCAAAGAGAAGTGGTTAAAGAAACGGTGGTACATTTATTCCACGGAATACTACTCAGCCATTAAAAAGAATGAAATTATTCAATTTGTAACCAGATGGTACCAACTAAAAGCCATTATGCTCAATGAAATAAATCAATCCCAAAAAGACAAATACCATATGTTCTCTCTAATATAAGGTGACCTTAATGCAGATTATAAGATCAACAACCCTTTCAATAATGTTTTTTGCTGCAACCCATGGGTTTTGATGTTGTGTTTATTTTCATTCAGAATAATGTTCCTTATTAAATTCTTCACCGATTTGTAGATCACACAGTAGCATCATTTTCTCTAAGAAACTTTTGTGTTTTTCTCATTTATTCATCGACACATTGGTTATTCAGTAGCATGTAGCTTAACTCCATGGTGCTATAAATCTTTTATCTTTATTCTTGTTGTTGATTCTGTTTGTGGCTTCTCATTTAAGCGAATGTTTAGTAACTGCTAATAAAGACTATCATATCCAGTTGTGAAGATACAATGCAGTAGGTATCTCTAATTCAAAATCAAAGATGAATTCACAATGAAAATGTTGTATAGGGCCTGGCAGCGTGACCTAGCAGCTAAAGTCCTCACCTTGAACACACCTGGATCCCATATAGGAGCCAGTTCTATCCCGGCAGCCCCACTTCCCTTCCAGCTCCCTGCCTGTGGTCCAGGAAAGCAGTCGAGGACGGCCCAAAGCTTTGGGACCCTGCACCCGCGTGGGAGACCCGGAAGAGGCTCCTGGCTTCGGACCGGCATAGTATCGGCCGTTGCGCTCACTTGGGGAGTGAATCATCAGACGGAAGATCTTCCTCTCTCTCTCTCCTCTCTGTATATCCGCCTTTCCAATGAAAAAATAATAAAAATAAATCTTAAAAAAAAAAAAAGAACTGGCCTTCACGGTTGCTGAGGCCTGTGCGGTTGATGGCATGCCCAGATACTCATGGGGGACATGTCAGCTCATGGAGGCCTGCAGAGAACACCCAGTACCATGGAGAGCAGAATAAATTAGACAGCCCTCCCGGACAAGTAAGTATCTGAGTGAATCGAGGCTCCGAGGTAGATTATGTCGGCCAAAGGACCTTGGAAGGATTTCCTCATCCTTAGAGCAATGAAATCAACAGCATCCCAGAATTATCAAGACCGCTTAAGCGGTGTCCTCAGAACATCCTCCGCATCGGGGAGCCTGGGATGGCGCTGGGTGGCCGTCCTCCATTCCCGCTTGCTGGAAGCAACTCTCTCTGTTTTTCTCCCCATTGTCCCCAGAAAACAGAAGAAAAAAAGGAGCCTGGAGGCAGCTGTCTCAGTCACTTTCCCCCATTCCTCGACCCTCCCCGCCCTCATTGGTGGTCCACACGGGCATGCATTCCTCTCAACTATGTAGACATCATCAAAAATAAAATGACTTCATTATATAAAGAAACACATGTGCTACTGAATTCATAGTCTCTATGTGTGAATGAATTGCCTACGATGAAGGAAAAAAAAATGTGAGTTTCTGTGATTTCCCGGTCATTTTTGAGCCCCTGAATTAGATTCTCTGCACTATAATTCACATGTAACAATATGCTTAAGCATGTTTTTAAGGAAATCATATTGTTCCTCTAAATATGACGCATCTTGCCTACTGAAAGATACTTGGACGGTTAAATATTTGCACTTGCTCTTCTATTTTCAACCTTCTGTAGAACATAATTAGTTTTCCTTTCCTGTGCCAGATTTTGGCTGGGAAAGAGTTATTAATATAGTAGAGCTGAGACTTGTCATTCCAGTTTTAAAAATTATAAACAGGGACCTGGCACGATAACCTAGTGGCTAAATCCTCACTTTGCATGTGCCTGAATCCCATATGGGTGCCAGTTTGTGTCCTGGCTGCTTCACTTCCCTTCCAGCTCCCTGCTT